TCAGATCCTTCGTAAATACAGATGAAGTGTCTACCACCTTTCCATAGGATTCATTACGAGACCCATCAACACTAACATTGTATTGCCGTCTATTAAGTGAATCTTCCAAACACATTTCTTCATTTAGTTCCCCTGTTACATAGACCTTTGATTCAAGTGAACCATGTTTACCAATATGTTCTCCCTCCTCGAACTCATGACTATATAGTCCTTCTAGATCCGGTGAAACACCATGCGAATGACAACGCTGTACTGTATTTACGGACCTATAAGACTCCCTGGGACCTAAAACCATCCAACCGAGGGGCGTACGCATACCAAATGGATGTTCCCGGTCTCCCAGACGTTGTTCCAGAACCCAATGTGCGTTTGGAGTGTCACACCCAATCAACACTCCCACTAGATTACTTTGCAACGTCGGAAGGGCTATGTCTTTCAAATGCTCCCACGAACCCAGCTGTTCCTCGGTTAAAGGTTCAACATAATCGATCGGAAGCTTCTTGGTCGTATAAGCCTTGTTGATCTTCACGTAACCCCGTTCATCTAATGAAAATATCTCTAAATTTACTTCCTGACATTCACAAGTAGTGGTTCCATTCACGGTAGTCACCTTTATCGAAGTCTCCTTACCCTTGAGACCCAAATGATTAATTATCTCTTCACATACAAGAGAAGTATCCGATCCACTATCAAGAAGGGCGTAAGTTTCTAAAGTTCCATTTGGACCATACAGCCTGACCGGAATAAAACCCAAACAAACCTTCGACGAGTTCCAGTCCTTTACTAAGTTCACTACACGGTTATTAATACTATCAATATGTAGCAATGAATTATGCAGAGCCTTGCAATTACCAACGTCACACTTGATATCCGAGTCGCATGACTTCGCTATGTGACCCTTCCTTAAACACAGGTAACATAGACCACGTCTTCTCACTTCGTGTCTTCTTTCGGTAACATTCATTTTCAATAACTTCGTACAATCTGTCTCTTTGTGATCAGCAAAGCAGATTCCGCAACTGAGAGCGGTGAATGAGTTGCTTGGTTCCAGCTTAACTACATTAAAACGCGATCTTTTATCAACTTTGCCTTCATAATTACCTTTACTGAACTTTGAGTTACAATGTGCCAATCTACCGAAACGTGTTCGAGAAATCCTGGCTCTTTCTTCTACAAAGATCACAAATTCTTCATAGATCGGCTCCCTTCCGGTCATCATGATCTTATCGGCAACTTCCACCCACTTATTCTGTAATTCTAGTGGTAAACACGACACAATTCTTTCCAAATTAGCGGGAGAATTCATATCAGACATATACCCCATTTCCTTCAATGTTATGCATACATTACGTAGCTTAATTGCAAAGTCAGTTAAGCCATCGGCTGATCCTTCAACAGATTTGTGGTTAAATAACTCAGTAATCATGTCGCGAGCAACAAGGTGTTCCTTACCAAACAGGTCATACAAAATCTGTTTAGCTCTATCATAACCCAAATGAATGGGCAATGAAATACAGGCTTCAATAGCTGTCCTAGCCTTTCCCTTACAATAGTATAACAAATACGACAACAATTGGCCCTTATCTGACAATTTACTCTCTATAAGGCTATTAAACTGACTAATGAAACGGTAATACTGACCTGGTTGCCCATCAAAGTACATCATATCGATCTTAGGTAAAACCATGTTACTAACCATGGTATGTAACGTGTCCTTCAGTTCCTCAACCCAATCGACATTTGAGATGTTACAGACCTTCCCTGGATGATTATTACACCAGTATCATGATTCAAATAATTTTCCACTTTAGCATTTATCCCACATTTATCTACGGGTAATCGTCCATCGTCCTCGATGGCCTTGCATTCTAGTTCAGCGATATCAACCTCTTCTTGTAGATCTAACATCTTAAGTTGCCGTTCTAACTCAAGTCTCTTCTCTAAATTCCTTTTCCTCAGTAATGCCTTATCTAACTTTAATCTGGAAGTACTTAGCTGGCTAGAGGACATACTATTAAGACTAACATCATCACATTTATCATCAATAACATCAGACATACCACAAACAGCTTTAGAAATGTTACCATCCATTTCGTCATTTTCCTTCAGCCTTTTACTCCGTGTTTCCATCGTATTTGTTGTTCCAAATAATCAATTGCCAAAACAAATCTGAATTAATCCAAACGAAATCGACCAATAAGACCAGGAATTCGGACCCAAAATATCCAGAAAACCCAAGGTATGAACACAGAACCAATAATTGAAGAACTTTATGTTACGTCCAAGTTTTGCTCGTTCCAGTTATTGAAGTACGGACTATCGATCTACTTGCAAATTACGAACCCAAGTAGGCAAAAGAACCAAAACTCCAAATCAGGTACCAAGTTTATTCGTAATTCACAAGTAATCGACCAAATGTCGTTCTAATAACAATAATTATAACAATTACAAAACAAACCTTCAATTTTGTAGGTTCCCGGAGCAAAACTCCCAAATACCAAACCAAAGACAAAAGGAGCACCAAAATACCAAACCAAAATGTCCGAAATAATGATATAAACAAACAAGTTCAAAAGTTAAGTAAAACAATTACATCCAAAAGCACAGTAAATTATTAATGTACAATAAAAGGTTTTAATCCGTCAAAAGTCTTCAGTTCTCCCGTAACAGTCCCTGCCTTTGATTGCTTGACCTGTGTTGACTGGAATCGTGCATTTTGGTTGTGAATTGAGGCACTATTCCAGAATTGAAAACACACTGTGTTATAGAGCGACCAATTGTTACCTTTTGAACGAATCTGTACGTGATCTATCCAGACAGGATAGAATAACATTTATTTGTGGTGATTGATTTGATCAATTGAATAATTATTGGTTGGATGGCTGAATGGTTATATTTGTTTTGGTTTCAAACGGGCGAGGGCGCGTATCTAACTCATCCAGACAGCTGTTCAGCAGTCCAAACCGTAGTTTGGATCTTACAAAGATATTCTTAAAACTGTTAATAGTGAAATATTTCAGTCGCTACTCACCTGATCAATGCGAATGTTTTATATAGGGTTGTGATTAAACGTACAAAGCTGCTGGCTGGTTAAAGCAACGTGCTCAATCTTGTCACCCACAACATAAACAATTCAATTCCACCACACAGAGTACAAACCGTACAAGTAACAACCAACAAAAGACACAAAATCACATGAGAGTCGAAACAAGCAGTTAACGTGAGTACCTCCTTAAAAGTGCCCGGAAAATACGCTACCAATACGCAACTATATGACTAATCAATACTATGCAGTACATTATAGATCAGCAATCACAAGACAGGAAGTAAAGCCATTAGTTAAGGTCTACCGTAGAAACAACTATTGAGTCGCCGTATCGGTGTCATGCTTCCATGTACTTCATATCTCCAGAAGGCACCACTTGCTTCACCAAATGTGCTTGATTGGAAGGAGCACTACAGTAATCCGTTAGAAATTGCCGATAGATGTTATACTGAAAACTTGTACTCTTCAGATTTAACAGGATTGTTTGTCAAGATTTCATTAGCGATCATCACCAATTATCTAGTTAAGTGACTAGATATTAATATGGTACTAGTCAGTCATTAGTAGGAGTGACTGTAGAATGACATTTATAGCATTCACCCTTGGTATGCATAAAACAAGAGCAACCTCTAATCCCTTCCTGAAAGCTTGTTCGTGTCGTGTTATAAGCAGATGTATTTTTATGTAATTCGCCACTAAAACGAACAAGTGATCTGTTAGGAAGAAGAGGAATACGGGCGGTACGATAAACAAGAAGCATGTACTACTAACCCCTAAGCACTGCGTACGTTGCGAATCTAGAGATCCCAGAAAATTCACGTACAATTGATTGTTAGACTTAACACTTTTAGGATTTCTCTCCTTTAGTCAGATCCAATGGGCAACTATCCTCCTGAAGAGGAAATAGTGGAGGTGTTTGTCCTACATGAAGTCTTAAGCAGGGACTGAAAACATTTTAGAATAGTTCCAAACTCAGCCTGCCAAATATTTACAAAACACACCGGGAGGCGAGATATGCTTGCTTTTGCGGAGTCTTAAGTGGAAGAAGTACACAGAGAATCACATAATGTGATGGCCAGGTTTTTTTCAGTGGTCAAGAGTATGACACAAATCTTCTAAAGAAGTACCAGGTGGACAGAGCATCAATAACTTTCTCCATTATCACTCCGCACTTACCGATATTCAAAGGAACCGAATGGACAATAGGGAAACCATGATGGTTTACAATTTCTAGTTTGGGTAGGTGAGAGCCATATCTCCAAATACTTAGTTATGCGCATACAAATCGGTCTTCTAAACACACAGTGCGATGACCAGAATTATCACTTGACTTGGGAAGGCCCAAGTGGTCAATATGCACTGGATGGTCATGTTTACAGTGAGATAGTCCAGGTATTCTAGGCCGAGACCAATCAAGTACTTGAAAAGAGTAGCAAGAATCAAGCAAAGTAAATATGAAAGTTGTCCGGAAGTTCTGTGTTGAATTTTGTTGATCTATGCAAGTCTATATGGGATAAAGTGTCTGAAAATCTATTTGCGGCTACATTTGTTTTTCTATGTCAGATATTATTGAAGGAGTTAGCAGCGCGCCACCCAACTCTATGGAGGTCGATGAAATTGCGGACGAGTTGCAAGTTTTTGGGCTTATCGTTGATGATAAGGTCGTCCTTGAGAAATGTAAATTGCGTACAAAAAGTGACCGTTCTATCTAGTAAGCTTTTTGGGCGAAAGGTGGGGCTTAAATGCTAGTACACTCGTGGAAAAATATGTTGCTTTTCAACGGAATACCGATCTACCTGATCGCATTTCACTAAAAAATGTTGAACTTTTTGACAGAGAGGTAAATCTGACCTCTAAATCTCACATTGAAGACGTCGGCAAAACTCGATACTGCTAAAGCTCGGACCCCTAGATCACATGTCCAAAATCCGCAAAGAGCTTGTTAACAAAAAATATGTTACAAGAGCTGTATGGTCCTCGTTTAATGCTCATTTTCTAGGATGGTTGCGGAAGCCTGCAGCGATCAAAGAGATCTGTTAAGTTCCTACGGTGTTTCGAAGCCATTGATTCCTGTACCAAATGGACGATTAATTCCATCAGACAAAGGTACTTATAAAGACTACAAAAATGTAGCCCTGTTTTACTCATAGAAAATGAACCTGAACTTGAGTCCCATGAAACTCAGCTGATAGCGTCTTATCCTTCAGACGCTGTTGAGTCGCTTATCTGTAATGGTATAACTGATTTCATTGACTGGACTCCAATTCTGCTGACTACCAGAGCCTATGGAAATCGATACATGAACCAACACACCTTAGAAAATGCAGAGAGTAGGTTTGATTTTTACAGTGGGGTCCTAGTGTTATATGTATGCAATTTTGTCCGTCACAACTAATTCTTTTCGCATCATCTGTTCAAGTTTATTGCGTGACCTATTATTATTATTATTATTATTATTATTATTATTATTATTAAAATTCTAACTTGCTTCAGCACTCCGGAAATATGGGCCAAGGATGCTGTTGTTAGAATTACGAGTATTTGGATTTAATTAACCTATTTACCAAGTACACGTTTATGTATTTGCGCTATACTTTGAGTTGCTGATACTACTACCTGACCGCTCAGACCGAAGTTGGAAGACCCGTGATTGAATGTGTAGTTTAGTAGTGCTGGGTATTTTTCACACGGGTGTTTTCGATGTGCTCTTAATTGCATCTCCAGGACTATCTGTTAATACATATCACAGCAACTGCCTTAATTCTGACCATCATTTCTTATATTGTCTCATTTAATACTAGTTTCCGATTAAATAACTTGAAGTTATTGGTTGCCCTTAGTTAATGTGTAATGGGGAGTTTTGTTATAAAATGGGTTTTTCTCCACTTCTGACTTAGCTAATAATCTGGTACGTAGATTTCTTAAGAATTTTACGGGAACCAATAAACATAAATCTGCAAATGACTTTTGATCTCTTGGGTCATATAAGCTCTCCTATCTGATAAGTTCATAAGACAGAAACTCTAAAACGTATCACTTTCCAGAAAGCTATGTAGTTCCACCTAATTTTTTCGCTCACAGCATTGACGATTAAATACTTTTAACAGGATAGTTTTTAAGTATAGTGTGGATTGTCCTCTGTAAAGAGCACGTCTCGAGCACTTTAAGTTGTGTTACTCTCCATCAGCTTTGTCATACATTAGAACACCTGACCTAACCATCTCGGTCGACGAAGATTTACAACCTGATCAACTGATTTACCATCATTCCCTAATACCCCGCGTCTATCCTCACTATTACTTACCCGGTAATCCCAGCAGATGATGGCAATATTTCTAAGACATCTGTGATCAAACACTAGTAGCTTACGGGTATCTTATACTCTTAACGGCCACGCTTCGCAGCCGTAAAGTAGGGTAGAACGAACTGCCGTGCAGTATACTCGTCCTTTAATTGATAAACGGATATCTCACTTTCGCCATAGGTGACGTAAGTTGGCAAAAGCCGAATAAGCTTTTCGAATCCATGCTGAGATTTCGTCAGACACCAACTCATTAGGGCTGGTCAGACTCCCAAGATAAGTGAATTTGTCGACGCGTTCGACTGCTTCACTACCTATCATTGGTTCAGCTGTCGACGCAGGTCAGTTCTAAAGCAACAATTTACATTTAGAAAGGGACAAACGCATCCCAAACATCCTGGGATTGCTGCTCAGTGCTACCAAAAGACTGTATTTTATCAGCGTTTTTACCAAACAGAACTATGTCATCAGCGTATTCTAAGTCGATAATTGCACCTCTTGATGGGAGATCAATGTCTGAAAATTCTCCGATAAAACGGAGATTTCACTGTCGCTAAAGTGATCAAAAAAAGACTAAATTTGAGACAACACAAAGTTTGCCCCTATGATGCTTCGAAGCTGTACGAAAAAATTCGTATGTTACTAGTAGCATTATGCCTACGTTTCTGAATCGACAAGATAACTTCTACTTATCCATTTGACCTTTCAGAAGATCAAAGACGCGATAATTTCCTACAATATCGGTTTCAAAATAGTATCAATTGTCTACGTGCCCACAAAAGCAATTGATTTTACTCTGGATAAAAACCAACCATCATCTTTTTCGTCTACCTACTTTCGACCTGTCCTTATTTGAAGAGGGAAATTGCTTTACTCACCATTCCCCAGTATATATAAACAGATATCGAGTTATAAAATGCATTTTGAAACCTAGTATTGGCTAGGATATTTTGCTAAGCTACAAGCGACTTTACTCGTTATTTTTATGGTTTATCCGGGTATGGGCCCCTAAGAAAACCATCTGCTTCGGTCTGGGCACCCGGGCAGTATCACGGCCAACACACAAATCAAGTGACTTGTGTGGTGCATATTTACTCGGTGCCGTTTGTACCAATATTCATGTGTTCAAATAAATAAATAAATAAATTTATCTATGCCCTCCAGTGAGTTGATAGATATCTTTAAAATTAAGCTCCGTTTGATATTTGGTTGGAACTCCAGTTTATCCATTTACATTGACCAGTTAAGGATGACTACTTTGATGAATACCGAAAACGTAATGATGAGTTTAGCGTACACTATATCATAATCAAAATTTAAAGAGGTGATACAAAGGAGTGGCAGTTACAAATATATTCACGTTAAAGGCCCGAAACGTCATAGCATAAATCTTGATCAAAGCAGTCATCTATGCGAGTTACCAATACAAACGAAAAAATAATAGAAGCAAAAGCTCAGTGGCACGTTAAATATCATAAAAACTGAGAAATGACAATGAAAACAAGTAGTTTCACTGAAAGAGAAGCATAGGATATTATTATGTTAAGGATATCCGTACATGAGCTAGTTATCATCCCAAATTTTAACCTTAAATTATAGGCACTTTGGGCAATTAAACCAAGAAGTCTTTACCATTTTGCACAGGTGAAACCAAAAGTCAGTGGCTTCATTAGTTGATTCGATGTTGTAAAATGCTAATACTTAGCTTTAGCCAAACTTTTGTTTGTAACAAAAATGGTTGGTACAATCGGCTATCAAGAAATTTACAAACGTATTCTTACGTTAATCAGTAGAGGGGGTGGTAGGAGGTGACTGAATATAAGTAACGTTCTTAACCATTTAAATAAATGAATATTTAAAACATCATGGACTTGTAGACTATTTTTATTATTCGACCTGTAAATGAAGACTCACTAGCGACTCACACTTGTCTCGGCTTTTGCCAACTTACGTCACCTATGGCGAAAGTGAGATATCCGTTTATCAATTAAAGGACGAGTATACTGCACGGCAGTTCGTTCTACCCTACTTTACGGCTGCGAAGCGTGGCCGTTAAGAGTATAAGATACCCGTAAGCTACTAGTGTTTGATCACAGATGTCTTAGAAATATTGCCATCATCTACTGGGATTACCGGGTAAGTAATAGTGAGGATAGACGCGGGGTATTAGGGAATGATGGTAAATCAGTTGATCAGGTTGTAAATCTTCGTCAACCGAGATGGTTGGGCCATGTGTTACGCAAGCCCAACTATCGATTACCACGACATGCAATGCTGACAAGTGTTGTGGATGGTTGGAAGTAAGTTGAGGGCGACCAAACCAAAACGTGGCATCAGCCCTTGAAATCACCAACTTCTAGTGTGAGCCATTTTGGTTGATGCAAACTAGTTGGTTGAGGTCCGCGAGACTATCGTAACCAATGTTGGGAGACTCTGGGTGACATGACTCAAAATCGATCACAGTGGTATAGGTGTATACACTCTTTGTCTTCCCTTAAACTGTGAGATTAAAATTGCTCTCTACATTCCTTTCCACCAACTAGTTCTTTCTTCCTGTGGTATATCCTTATGCACAATCTTTCTTTTATATATTACTACCATTGAAGTGACAACTTCTATGAATTCGGTATTCATCTTGTTGTGCTAATGAGGTGTGGCAACTTGGACCGATGTATATATGTGCCTGGTCCTACTTTGTAGCTGACTGACTTTGATGTCAGTGTAGCCATCAATGTTAGAATATGACCTGAAATCATAATCTTATGTCATAATGTGGCGGTTAAAATGTAGATTGGTGTCTGTATGCATTTATAAACCTCCTATAACATTAACGGAGATATTTCTCTGACCGCGAACAAAATAATCTACAAAATTGCACATTAAACAATTATAATGTCGGTAAATACTGTACCTTTTAAAGGATTGCTATTCACAAAGGTATTTTTGTGATCAGACCTACTTATATGTTAATTACTTTCTTAGATTGGCTACTTTTAATTTTTCCCATGTATAAATGTATCATGCGTTGTTTTTTTTATACAGTTATTGACAACTGGACATGGGAAACTATCAAACGTGTTTTGAGTAACATACCTGAAGGATCATTGGTTGAAGGCGATCAGAATATTCAACAATCTTCTCAACCTATAAGTCGGCAAGTTTTCCATCTATTATAGTAATATTTTTAAAAACATGGGACGAAATCTCAATCCTTATCTGTTTCTCCCTAAATATTGAACCGTTAGTCATACACACTTAATAAACCAAATGAATTAACTAAATGTTTTGATCGAAAGTTGTTGTCTTGCTTAATCTGTGATGCACTATCGGGGATCCGTCTTCGAAAAGTATGATCACTAACTACTAAATTTCCGCCCACTGTTGTATGGGTTAAACTTGGTGAAAAGCTTAAGTAAGAAAAGTATTTCCCCCATAAGTTATTGAATGTATTGATCAATGTTTTAGGTTTATTTTGGTATCTGTGTCTTTAAATGTGAAATATGTTGGCGGGTGTTTATATTTCATTGGAGTAAGAAAAGTACTTTATCATTTAACCGACTATCAATTAACTTGGAGACGAATTCCTATATGTGTTGACAAATCCATTGGCTTCTAAAAGAGATTATGGACATAATCAAATGACGGTTCTTTGAAATGGATTTCGAGAGTGAAAATCGAGTGGTCTTTTAATTAGTCAATTGTTAATAAAACCTCACGAAATAACCATGTTACAACAGTAACAGTAGTATTGGCAGTGTTGTATCCGTAATTCCTTCAGAGTAAATTCTCAGTTAACTGTTACTAAAGCAAACCATCCTAGTTCTATGTCTAACACTTTGATATTTGAACGATTTTGAGGCAATAATGTTTTATATGTTACCATTTTAACGAACTCTACTGTAAGTTTCAATTCCTAGTGCAACATATTTGCTAAAATTTAAAAGATATATCTTTTGATTTTGGTGAAAACAAGTGTGCATAAAGGACATAATCTGAATTTTCCTAGTAGTAATTATGAACATATCTCCAGAATTATGTTTCTTTATGCAAATGATAATTTTGTACACCTTTTAATTGATACATTCCATTACCAAGCAATGGTAAATTAATATTCACTGAATAAAAATTCCCTGAATTTATTCATACCTATGCTGTAAAATCGTATCATTTTTTAAAATCCAACTATCAATCTAGCGACTCGTTATCGTCATTAATCAATAAAAATGAATGCTGTCAACCAACGAGAACTGAAACTTCTACACTGGAACGTACAACGTTTTTGAGACCAGTTTATTCGCGTGTCCTAGCTTCATCTCTCATTCCGGGAAGAGTTTCTGCAAAATTATCAGTACCTATCAAAGGATCTAGTGAATCTTCTCAAATCGCTGAGAACAGTAAACCTATTACTGAAACCAAAACTCGTCTACACGTATCAAATGTTGCACTGGTTGGACTTCGCCGAGTCGAACGTTCAGGATCCGAAACTGATGCCGTACCTTTGGACTTGGGATTTCGAAAGATCTATCTTATTCTGTTTATTCAGGTCAACCACTTTTGATTCGTGGTGTCAACCCTACAGGTCATTCGCTGGGTGTAATGGAAATTTTCCAGGTTTGTCATGAATGTTTACTATAGTTTGTTTCCTTTCTTTTTACCCTATGAAGGAGTTCTTGAGAATGATAGTCTATCCTTATTCGTTCAACATAATAAAGCATTAATTATACTGTAATTGGTTTCGACCACTTATCATTCAAGTTTATGAAAGTTATGGAGCCCTCTTGTATGATAACTTGAGAAAAATTAACATATCTAGGATTTGAAACATACTCATTATAAGTGTTAGGAATACCATTCACAATCACATTATCTACTTTAAATGAAGCGTAGTTAAGAACTACAACTTTAAAAATCTTTGTGTCAATCAGAGATAAGGACTTGGGAAAAAAGACTTGTTTGGGAGCATATATGAGATTGTAAACCCATAATTACATCTTAATAACAAAACGATTACTGCTAGTTTATTTGAATTGTTTCAGAATAATACCAATCCCTCACACACACCTAAAATTTCCATGCTAAATCATGTATAGCTACCGTCATAAAAATTATATGAGGACAAATAGGTGTAAAAATAATAAAATTACATTAATTAGAGATATATGAGGAAACAAGGGACTTGGTACAACATGCCGTTAATTTTTCCGATGTGTTTCAAATCATCCCAGCGAACAAACTAAAGCGAATCTAATAAACGTATGATCAGACACAAGTAGATTTACAATATATTTGCTGTTTGAAGAAATTTGGATGACAAATCCATGATCCCTTCTGTAAATAATTCCTAAGCCACGTAACCTAAGCTGCTCAGTCATCAATTTCCACTGTTCTATGAGCTTTATTCAGATGTTTATCTATTCAAATTCATGTTTCACACATCAGGAGAACTCGATTATCTTTCTTCCACCTAAACTGTGATAATTATACCTTAGTCCTTACCACTGGGACTTCTGTTACTATTACAGCCAGTGTTATAACTGGCTTATGGTTTACAAGCGATGCTTCTGTTCACAGGCTCACAATCTCATTACTTCACTTACCTGCCTGAACTGAGCATTACTGATCTATTGTTTTTACCATAGATGTTCACTACTTTGAAAACACCTGTATTGTTGTATTTATAATGGTTCATGCTTTCGAACCGTATAATAGAACAATATACCACTGTGCTGTATGCAATTCGACTTTATATTGATGAATGTTTGGTAAGTCTTTATATATTGGTCACTGCTATCTATTTCTAAGTTGTTTAATGTCAAAGTTGTATTCACAAATTTTTTAAAATCTTTTAGATACCTATTTCAAAACCCCCTTTTATCAATCCAGATAAATGCTGTAAGTTTATCTTTATAATCATAAAGTTTTTCATGTGCGGTACTTAACGTGTCAGGCGGTAGCTGTCCTCGGACATCAGTATATATATGGTTATTGTCACCGACAAAGCTCAGTCTTGTTGATACCAGTGATCATTAAATAGCTGTTTTTTTCAGTATGGGAATTCTCAGCAGCCGTCACCATCTCCACTAGATGATCGTTTCGCCACACCGTAAATTGATTGAGATTTGAAATTAATACCACTAGATTGACATCAAATGATCTAATAGTCAAAGTCACCGCGAGGCATGAAGCTCTTCAGCTCGATCTCTGATGGAGTCGTAGGTGCGCACTACTTTAGAGTCATAACATGATGTCCAGTGCTCTCTGGTTTTCAACAACACCTCAAATGAGCTCAGTCCACTACTAATGTCGCCTACAATTTAAACTAATCTCTACAAAAAGTTTAGTCTAATCCATTATGATATATAGAGACAAAGTTGGTAACTATCGCGAGCTTCAAACATCGCACTACATGCTTTACGCTGTTGCACACTATATTAAATATAACTTTCAAGTTTTTCTAACTACACCCATTCAGGTATTTGTGAGTAATCGTAATTGTTATTGGATGTGATTTTATAACTACTAAGACCTTTGGTAATGCTAGTGTGTATTTTTTTACTATTCACCATGATAATACTTTAGGAAATGCCAGCAAACTTACCAAAAGATGGGCTGCACAGTTTAGTTGATTTACAATGTGACTACTGGTGGTTGGAGTCCATTGAAATATACTACTAATCTGAATCTGGTCTTTTGTGGCCATTTCGTATCAATTAGTCTACTTCCGTGTCTTCATAAATCTATGCAAGACCAAATTCTCCTAAGTCGTTACTGAAATTCTTTTTCAGTTCATGTGTTTACCCATTTAGTTCAGATGTTATTTCTTCTTTCGCGGTTTGAGCAGCTAGAAATTCTCTGTTCCTCACATCAAAAGTACGGCTCAAAGTCGAGTACGAGATCTTTATTGAGTTATATTTACTTTTGTGTCCGATATTGAAAAACCTAATCATTTGATTCATCGTACACTAAGGATAATAAGCGAACAAATCTGTGATGACTATAACGAGCAACACATGACCTTGATAATTATGTGACACTTGTTTCGATCATAATAACTGTAATCTAACTATAACTTCACTTCATTGTACATTTCAACCTCATGTTTTTCATATTCGCTAAACTTACTTTTGTAGTGGGAAACCTGCATATTATGGTGGCCTGTGGCCCTTATACTCTTTCAAATTCACATGATCCTACAGGCCTTTTTAATTTATTGCGTTCCGTCAAACAATCTAAACCCCATGTTCTCATCCTGCTTGGACCGTTTGTTGATTCGGAGCATCCTGGTATTCAGGTATATTATAAGTACTACTTTTGGAAACTTTTTATATTGTTGTGTGGAAGTAACTGGGTTATAATAATAATAATAATAATAATAATAATAATAATAATAATAATAATAATAATCTAAAATTAGTATCTATTTAATTATATGGATCGGAAGGCAGTGAATAAGTACTGCGTAATTATCGGACGAGTTTATTTTGCACTGTCAAGTTAGTCTATGATGATAGCTGTTTTAAATTATCGTATCATCGGTACTTTAAATCCACATCATCCTCTCCCAACTTTTTTCTATCGAACTGGTCAGTTCATGAGAGATTCGTTCTGAATGCATCTTTATATATACTAACTTCTTATTTACGAAAAGATCAAGTCAATCTTATTTATCCTATGCTTTATTATGAATAATTCAATAGCAATATTTGGCCATGTTTAGCTATACAAACAAATTTGAGCGATCGATATGATCATCTTGAAAAAAGGGAATGTTTGAGCAGAGAGTGTTCTATAGAATAGACGTTTGCTGCGAAACCGAAGTTTCTAGGCTGAACCCTCAATAGGGTCGTGGATGCACAACGCTGAGGATAGGACGAGATATCTGTCTAGTGCTTCCTGGTTTTCAATGGATGTCTAACTTAGGTCGGCTCGTGATATCAATAAAAATCATAAATTCATCTATTTATATTACACCATGGTTTATAAGACATAGAAATAAAAGTTTTGATTGTTTCCGTTGTATGACACTGGCTAATTTGAACAAAATGTTTGTATTTATCCCCTCGTACTGATTATTAAAATACTTTTCTCATGAATTTATCTCTGTAGATCATGAAAATGAGGTTAGTGCAAACCATTCACTCGAATATATATCCAATTATTAATTTACCTTCTGTAAAGCTATACTGTTTGGTTATCAAATCTTCTGCAGCGTACTCAAAAATAAATAAAATCCATAAAGTACTCCCATACTATAACTAAACGGCCGTCCAGTTTCCAGGTTTTCCATGGTGGTCTAGTTTGAATTGACTCAGGATTTCAACTACTGAAATTTCTAAAAAATCTCCACAAAATTCCTGGTAAATCCATTATTGTAAAGCGTACGCTTTGAGAACTGCTCATGTGACTGTTTTTGACATTATCATGATCGAATTATGTAAACTGTAAAAGATTCCTATCTCGATTATCGTAAGAGCTTTCTCTATTAAAAAAAGTTTTTTAAAATTCGAATAAATAGTGCTTAAATATTCAATCGAATATATTTTTCCTACTAATCGTTATATTTATATTCCAATCATTATTAGTCTTATTCTGAAACTACTTACGAAGAATTATTCCAATCCAGAGTGAATAGTGTCAGTGAATGGTGTAATCATCTATCTATAAGGTTGATAATTATTTCCTCCTGGAGAGAATTACATCATGATCCAGTGTATCCGACCCCACCTATCGACAAGTCGTGGATAGAAAAGACACCACATCTGGTCAGTACTGTAAATGTGTTTATTTCTATGATTTTTTTAAATCTACTTGTTATGTAGGTATTTATGCTTTAATGTGAACTTTATCGACTAATTTAACATAACGCTAGATAAATTTCTTGACAGATTCAGAGGAGTCTCAAACTATTAAGAATTATTTTTTTTAAGTGTTCCCTCATTTACTAGTGGACTGAATTTGGTCGCGATAGACTAGCTAATTATTAAAATATGTGAGACCTCTGCTTAGTGATAAAGTTTTAGAACGGAAAAATAATAGTTTTAAACTTCTCTATTTAATTTTTAGTCCAAATTTTTACAGTTCTATCAATTTTGTCTAACTTCCCAATATGAGTGGAAGTGTAGGTTTGAATGCTTTATTTTTTACATCAATTAGTCATCTTTATCATCCTGCACATTGTTAGTTGAAACTGGATGTGTTTGACTGTGGTTTATCTATTTCCATTTTCGTTGTTGTGTATTCTTGAGAATACTGTCAATATTTTGCTTATTGCAAAAAGTATAACATTGTCTAATTTACTCTGTTAGCTTAAAAATAATAATGTGTATTTCTATCGTAAATTATAATTACTAAGGTAAATATTGGCATTAATGTGAATAATACTATAAGCATTCCATTAGTCTAAATTAAATCCTCCTTGATTATTTAGTATAGTTTCTTTTTCATATTCAATATAATTTATTGTTTCTAGTTATCATCATACGAAAAAGTTCAATTCGCTCCCGATCCATGTCTTTTCCAAATTGGGGAATATGTTTTTGGTCTAACTTCGGTTGATATACTTAAAGATCTTAGTTGTGAAGAAATCAGTGCTGGGTAACCCTTGTTTGTCGTATAAATTTTTTTTCTTCAAATCATTTGTACTGTATTTGTTACAGCATGTCCATAACATTTAACCACCTTACAAATTTATTACTTAGTTTTTAGTTGTTTTTTAATTGTAAAAAGTTTCAATGTGAATGTTTTTCTATAAAGCATAAATCTAAGAGAAGATAATGTTTCGAAGGTAAAATATGACTTTTATGTTCGACTAATTTTAGCCAGTTATAAACAAAAATAATGTTACACAAATGTGTATCTATCCAAGTCGTCACACTACATCAGCACAACTACATGAAATCGAGAAAGTGAATATCAAATAAATCAAAATATTAGTAGTGTACTAGATAGCAAAAAACCTAGAATGGAAAATATTACTCGTAAAACAGGTAGGAAATAGAAGTATAGGATTTACCGGCTTATACTAAAGCACCTTGAAAATCAGTTTCAATGTCTTGTCCATAAGATCTCCAGCCATATATCGATTTTCAGTATTGGGTTGTAGAGATTATTGAATTGTAATCGAGATCATGAACCGATTAATGTTAGACTACTATTAAAAACCCGGAAGCACTAAATGTCTGTTTCGTCCTAGTATACGGCTCCTCAGCAGTGCGCATGCGGGACCCGAACTTGGGAACTTTGGTCTCGCGCACTACTGCTTAACCTCTAGACCACTGAGCCGCGATCAGTGGAGTTCAACCGTGCAGAGTGTGAGGCAGTTATCCACCGAAGTCAATGAGAGATGGCCGCGCAATATCGTGGATTAGTTGTAGTTAGACATTAAAACCATCGAATGCCAGCTCAGTGGTTTAGAGGTCAAGCATTCACGTACGAGACTGTAGGTCCTTGGTTTTGTTATATCCGAACCAAGAACAAATGAATGGTATCTTCTAAGAGTTATTATGGACTATTATTTCATACATTCTTGTTGGATAATTATTAAGTATATATATTCATACGCCTTTGACCATAAGCCTTCATTGACATATTGGCTACTGAAATACGATTTATCAGTTACAGTATCCCACACACTTAGCTACTTTTAGCTTGGTCTTATGTAATTATTATTTTTCATTTTATGGTGTAATGCAGTCTGGTTTGCTTGTATATAAACTACGTATGTCTGAAATATAGGATTCATACAGCGGAGGTTTATGCATGTGTTCTGGACTGAATGGCCTGGGTTAGGCTAGAAATTAATATACGGCGGACCATTAACGGCTCAGAGTTGACTCAAAGCTGGTCGTGCTGGTTAATGCATCATTGGTTTCGCACAAAGACGATGTCATATAATTCGGTGTTCTGGTTGGCGATTTTGTCACGTGATATTTGACATGCCCACAGGCAACAGGTTCAAGTCCTACGTGCGGAACCGCAGGTGCGCGCTGTTGAGGAGTCCCATACTAGGGTGGAATGGCCGTCCGCTGCTTCCAGATTTTGAGCGGTGGTTTAACATTAATTGGTTAGTGATCTCAATATGTCGATTTTGTTGAGTGGACCCCAACCTCCAAGTCTGCTTTACTATAGAGCTCAAACCAGCATTTATGATTATACCTACCAAAAGTTTTCCAGTCTATGCCACTTGTTATAAGATTAGTCAGATAGTTGTTTTGTTTGTTCTGTCTGTTTTAAAACAACACAACATTTTTGTAAGAGATTAGTAGTTGTTAGACTCAGAAGTAGTAGATTCATAATACGTAAGCACCTTGACATTTTAAAGTATGAACGAATTGAGCGAAGAAATTTCTTCGCTCAATTCGTTCCTTCTTTATTTACCAAATGGCAAAATGAGAATTTTAATGTTTACTATCCTTCATTTAGACAAATACCGCACTGTTGTAGCTGTATTTGTTAGATGGTTCCTACCGAAATTTGTTATGAAAACCTCAGATTAATTTATTTTTATTATAAATGTTAGTCTTGTCTTTTAAGAGAAATCGCGTTAAGATTTTTCCGATTCACATTTGCACAGTGACATTGATCTTGTGTGATTGATTGTTTCCGCTTTAGTTTGCTAATTTTGTCGTCAACTAAGAGCACTGGTACTTGTTTAATCTAAAAAGTTGTTCTTTCGCAGTTCTGACTTCGTTGACTATCAGGCTGTTTCCTAAACTCCTAACTTCATGTGTTACATTTTTTTCCTCTTTCCAAATTTATTTCACTAGATTATACTCTTTAAATAACATCTCCAAACCCTAATCTTCCCGATTACTGCTTATACTCTTATTACCTCTACCACTACGGGATTTGAATCGACAACTGCATCTCTGTGCTAATGTGGTGTGGCAACTCGAACTGTGATGTACGTACGTACGAAGTTCTACGTTGTTACTGACTGACTGACTAGGGATAATCGTCAAGGTATTGTGGGCCTGGTGCTCAACTTATTGATTTCAAATTTGATTACATTCGTACTAGAAGTCGTATCGACCTTTTGTAATTAGAAATTACGGTAGTCGCAATCGTTTACATGAACTTAATCAAACTCTGTAGTCGGTTTTAGGTTTTTCATAATAAATACAACTAAAAGCTGGGTATTATGTAGTCAAATTATAAAATGTTTCAGATCATCTGGTTGAAATTAGCCTTAATTAAGTTTGATGACGTACACTAACTAAACATTTTTATAGGGTAAAACGTAATAAATTAAGGAAAATATTATTAAGATTTTCATTCATTGGTGTTTATTCCAAAATTGTATACTAACTTGTTAGTGTTAAAATTACTTCACTGTTTTAAGAAATCTGTTACAGCTGATACACTAAATGAAATTTCTGTTCAATTTTTTCTTGTAATTTCGTAGTTGCTCGGGCAGTGATAGAATTACTCGTTTATGTCGGCATATTCTCGCCTCATCATCGTTTTACCCTGTACATCCCCCTGACGATGGTTTACCACTTGATTACCCTTTATGGAGTCAATATGCACAGTTTCCAGTCACACCACACTGTTTGATTTTACCGTCGAAATTGCGTCAATTTGTAAAGGTACGATCTCAATTACTGTTTATTTAATCATCGCTATTTCTGGTAGTTTTCAAGTTTGATGTTTAGATTGTAAACACAGTGAAAGTAAACATTAATTTATCTTTTTTTGCCTGAAGTTTCCTTCCAGCATTAAAGCATTCAGCTACCAGTCCCTGACACTTAAGTGATTTTGAGGCGATTTCGAGATATATGGCTGTAGGTACACTTCTCAACACAATCTCACTTGACAATCGTCTATGGACTGGTTAATTGATATTTTCAGAATCAGGAACCATCGAAATGATATCAAGTGAAGTGGACTTTTTAATAACTGAAAGGTTTGTGTAATGGATATATTAGCTGACACTACAGATTGAATTAGTTATTTTTCAGTAGTCACTACCAATCAGTCCTATTCCAGCTAGTGTAGTTAGTAATTTGTGGTAAATACACTAGTTACTTGCCGTTTCGCAACATCTTATCTTAGATTCATACGAAGTCTGACGGCAGTTACATAGAAGAATATGACGGCTATAATAAAATCACATCGAAAGTATATATATATATATATATATATATATATATATATATATATATATATATATATATATATATATATACCCCTTCTGATAATAATCATCTCACTAGTGACTGGCTTCAAGAGGCATTTCCTGGAGTTATAGTGAGAAGCCATTATCAGTGGAGTTCAACCAGGTCTGTTGTGAGATATAAACTCACTGAAGACAATGGTGTACGGTGGCGCAACTTCGTGGATTGGTTGAAGTCAGACATTAACGCCGTTGGACGCCGGCTCAGTGATCTAGTGGTTAAGCACTCGCGCGCGAGACTGATAAGTCCTGGGCTGGAATCTCTCGGGGGGCGGGATCGTGGATGCGCACTGCTGAGGAGTCCCATACCAGGACGAGACGGCCGTCCAGTGTTTCCAGGTTTTCCATGGTGGTCTAGTTTCAATTGACTCATGATTTCAATCAGTGAAAATTCTGTATACGTTTATTTTAACTAACCAATGAGTCCTGTCCATTGTAACAAACAAAGCTTTCGCTGAAGGTTTTTGATTTATTAAGTTTTAATAGTAAGGAAACGAAGTCGGTTGTTTTGGTATTCCCATAATATATTATCTTGGTGACCAAATCATTTAATTTTGTTTTTTTCCATTCCCTACTCCGTGCTGAAACATTTTTGAAATTAATTTTTAGAATGTAGATGGTGTGTTGTGCATCAATCCTGGATATGTATCAAGAGGAGAGGCTTTCGGTAGCTATGCTGAAATTGTTGTCAATGTGAATGAATTTTCAAGTTTAAATGAAAATAGCAATGAAATTAACTCAAATATACCGGATAACTTATCATCGGAACATTCTAGTTTCAGTATATGTGGTCGTACATCTGTTTCAATCAAACGCCTTTAATTCAACTTAATTTTAGAGAACATATTTCTTTTTAATGCAAACTTGGGATCTGTTCTAACTTTGTATTTTTCTATATGCTCAGTGTAAGATGCTTTCCTTAATAGAATATATTTCAGTCAGTCGTTTTATATAATCACCTCAATCGATTAAATTATCCTTATCAACTCGTTTGTAATAAGCGTCCTGTCATTTCCGTATGTTTAAGATAACTACAGATAAATCGACAGTCCTTTAAATATTTCCAGTTGTTTGAATACCCTCAAAAACAGCTCTTTATTATTTAATTTAATTCATGATGTTGACAATTTGATATCGGATATAGGGTGATTTATTGCAACTATATGATCTGGTTTTAAGTTAACTACAAAATCGGACTTATTTCCCTCTAGCTTTGTTTTCATAAGGAAGTTGCTAATTAGTCTCTAATATTGTTAGCTATTGCGCTAACCCATAGCACCAACAAACATTACTGTCCGTACTTGCTTTCACCAATGCTCTCATTACAGACAGTAGCATATAGCTTTTCTAAATATTTGCTTCGTTCTTTCCTATTGAGTGTATTTTAGTAATATGTTATTCTTATTTTCAAAACCGTAAATACGTAGTACAGTTTAATAAATATATACGTATTGTTGGAAAATATTTTTCACTTTCCAAATGAATACTGCAATAAAGCACTTTGTTTATCAGTATACAAATATATAACGTAGAACTTCGTACGTACATACATCAGTTCGAGTTGCCATACCACATTAGCACCGAGATACAATTGTCGATTCAAATCCCATAGTGATAGAGGCAGTAAAAGTGTAAGCAGTGATCGGAAAGATTAGGTTTTGAAGATGTTATTCAACGAGCATATTCCAGTGAAATAAGTTTTGAGAGAGAAAAAAAGGGACACGAAGAATTCAGAAGATTAGAATTTGGGAGAACAAAAAGAGTGGATGCACTTGCGCCATTGCAAACGATTTTAAGCCATGTTTCATCCAAGGTCTCTAACCTTCAGTTGCTATCATCTCGCGGACCCCAACCAGATAGTCTACACCTACCAACATAGCTCAGTCCACTTGTCAATGACTTCATGTATTTTTGCCATGTTTTGGTCTGGCCGCCCCTAGCTTTCTCCCAACCTACTCTTACACCGTCGGGGCAGTTGGTGTTTGGGCATACGTAGCACGTGTCCCAGCCATCTCAACTGATGAGGTTCCACTACTTGATCAATTGATTTGCCGTCCTTACCTAGTACCTGTTTCCTAACAACTGTATTACTTACTCGGTGGTCTCAGAATATATGAGCGATGCTTCGAAGATACCTGTGATCGAATGCTAGTTACTTACGAATATCCTCTACTCTTACCGGCCATGTTTCACTGTCATAAAGTAGAAAGGAACGAACTGCTGCGCAGTAAACACGTCCTTTGGTTGATAGACGGATATCTCGCCTACGCCATAAATGACGCAAGTTAGCAAAAGCTAGTCGAGCCTTCTGTATCCGTGCTGAGATTTCGTCACATACTAAACCACAAGGGCTGATGAGACTTCCAAGATAAGTGAAGCGGTCGACACACTCAACTACTTCACTCCCTATCACTAGTTCAGGTGTCGATGCAACCCAATCCTGAAGCAACATTTTGCATTTCGAGGTGGAGAATCACATGCTGAACATGATTGCATTGTTGCTTATAATGGTCAGAAAACTCTGCATTTTATCAGCGTCTTCACCAAACAGAACTATGTCATCGGCATATTCTAAGTCAACAAGCGAATCTCACGGTAGAAGTTCAACCCCTGGAAATTTGGCTGTGGAAAGTGTTATCTCTCGAAGCACGTCAACGACAAAAACAAGAATGGAGCGAATGGACAGCCCTGACGAACACCATAAGCTCTCACTCGACCAGTTGTGTTCTAGTAGAGAGAGCCTTTACAAGGGTAATGTACTTCTTTCAGTTAATATTTTAGACACTATATTAGTCAAACTGATTCCTCTGTGATTGTCACAAGAGGACTTTTGTCCTTTCTTATAGACTGGCACAATCAGTGATTGAGACCAGTCAGATGGGATTACGTCCAGTTCCCAAATTCTACCTAAGACCTCAGTTAATCTCATTGCTAATACTGGACCACCATCCTTAAAAATCTCAGGAGTAAACCTGTCAGGGCCTGCTGCTCTCCCTCGTTTCAGATTTCCTATGGCTTTTTCAACTTCGTAAAGGGACGGAGGACCTACATTAACTTGCCATTCAGGTTGACTGGAGATCGTGGGAAACCGAAGTGTGGCTGAAGGCCAGTTGAACTGATCCCTAAAGTGTTCTGCCCATCGATCCAATCTCCTGGATTGAGAATGAATAATATGTCCATCTTTCTCTGAGATTGTTTCGCTAACGGTCGGGTTCCTAATTCCGGTTTCCTTAACGAGTCTGAACAATTGTCTGCTATTACCTATTGCCGCTGCCTTTTCCATCTCTCTTGCTTTCGCTACCCACCACTGTTCGCGATCATTGCGTAGACTTCTTGTCAGCTTGCGCTTAAGCTGACTCCGCTCTTCATTATGTTCAGAGCCAGGTGGAATGAGTTTCCGAGCATCTATCAGTGAGATAGATGCTGCTGAGATCCAGTGTTGCTCCCTAACCTTCTGGTTTACCTTACTAGCAGATATCACTGCTGTTTCCACAGCTTTTCGGATATCATTCCATGCTGCATCGGGGTGGGCATCACATACATGGCTGCCTAACTGTTTTCCTAGTTGTTCCTGAAATATACTCTTAGCTTGACTATCATTAAGTAGGGCCCTAAGAGGTTTCCTTGCAGCGTCTTTCCTACGTCCAGTAAGACGCAAGCAAATACGCGCTCGCACTAGAGCATGATCTGAATCTAGGCATGTGCTCCAGAATGAGCGACAGTCTTCTATCGAGCCCCTCCATCGGTGGCTGATAGCGATGTGATCTATTTGGGTCCAACGTTGGGACGAATTAGGGGGTCGCCATGTTAAAAGATGTTTTTCCTTATGCTTAAAGTTAGTATTTGCAAGGAACAGGCGGTTATCTGAGCATAGCTGCAACAGACGGTCGCCATTATCTGTTCTTTGAGCCACGACACCATAAGATCCACCTAGGTGTCTTTCCCTTTCGCTTAGTTTACCTACTTGAGCATTAAAGTCACCGGCCACTATTACTACATCCGAGCGCCTAGCTTTTCGGAGAAGGTCGGAAAGCTTTCTGTAAAACTCATCTTTTACATCATCTGAGCTGCAGTCAGTGGGAGAATAGGCAGAGACGACGAAGAGGCAACGACGAGTGTCCCTATCTTTCCGGATTCTTACTGTTCCGTTCAGTCGGACAGCGCACAAACGACTGTCTACTGGGATCCACTCTAAGAGAGCTAGTTCTGCCCTAGGACTCAATGCTATACCTACGCCGGCGAGGCCACGGGAAGCAGAATCAGGGCTTCCAGATACACGAAGCGTAAATCGAGTCGGTTCTTTATTTTGGCATGGTGAGGTCAAATGAATGACGCTACTCGGATCCTGTATGCGCGTTTCGGAGACGCAGCACACATCGATGGCGCGAGATTCTAAAGTCCTAGCTAAGGAAGCCTGTTGTCCTATGTGGCACAGTGTTCGTACGTTAAAAGCTCCTACGTGTGGTTTAGAGCGTGGTTTCAAGGAATAACGTTCCGCGTATTCGAATCGTTCGCCCTAGCGATGCGAGGTGATAAAAGGACGTGAGAAGAGTTAGTCGTGGAGATAAGAGAGGTATGAGGGGGTGTAGGAAAGATGTGAATGTGATCAACTTGGTCTCGTATGCTGTTATGGGTATGAGGGCTGATATCACTTCCCGGTTGCTCACACTGTGAAAGGGTATTTCTTGAGGAACCCGAAAAGGAAGTCGGATTGATGTTGGTCTTAACGACCTAGGGGCGTGACTGCAGAGCCCAAAGGACAACTGCTTGAGGCTGGTCACGCACAGTCTTTTTGTGAGTTTTCAACGTGTTAGCTACGTTCTTCAAAGGGCCTTACCGTGTGAAACGGAAGTCCGTGAGGTTAGATGAGGTGTGACATTTTTAGTGTCGACCTTTTCTAACCCCTTCCTTCCTCATGAGAAGGCAGAATGGCTGCAGATGCTATTTTTCCGGGAAGAAGACCTTACTGTTGTCACAGCCCTCTTCAACCAGCCGTATGACTACGCCCTCAAACCTTGAGTTGCTGCTTCTAGTCTTACCGTTCTCCGATCGACTTCCCTGGCATGGTAGAACGTACAAGAACATATGTTCCAGCCAATATAGTTCGGTTGGGTCATCACGATAGGCAAGTCCGACCACCATGTCAAGGTAGCAGCTACGGTCGGGATATATAATATCGTACACTCGTTTGTCTTTTGTGTTCCAAATCTCTGTTGTACCCTGACGTTTTTATTTCATTCGGTATCTCATATAGTCTTGACACTACGAAGTTACGTTAGTGTAAGCGTTTCTGAATCTCAAAGATTCACTTACGAAGAATGATTATAAACTCTTCTTACTTTTGATGTCTTAAACGTCCTTTATATGTAATCACTTGAACCCCAACTCAGTAAGATAAGTTGAATTAACCAGATTTATCGCCATTTGTCATCGGATGTCTATTGTCCTGATAATGCTTGATATATTCTATACGATTGAAAACAATTAATCAGCCTGATAATAAGAAGGCGTAGTTGAAAAAAAAACTGGTTAACATTTGAATTTTTGTATTTAATATGATTATTTATTATTAGATACTTATAAAGGAATTAATTTGTTCATAATTCTTATCATAAAGCAGTTGTAAAATTTATTAGCTAATTGTCTGGAATGGTACTTTTAGTATGTGTTGTCTCATCTATTTCCATCAAGCTTATCTCATTATCATATCTACAATTCTCAGCGGGTGTTATATATACTTCATTAAAACAACTTGTATCTTCTTGAATACTATTTTTCGATCTGTCATTAATTGTAACATTATGAATCATTGGATTATTCACCGACATGTCTGACCATACTTGTTCTGATGGTGGTGAAGAAGATATCAAAACACTGACAATTTTTACTTGTGATAATCTAGTTTCTGATTTTGGGTCTACATATCGGACATCCGATATAGGTCTTTGTTTTATTGTTGTCGTATTTGTAATCTTGTTTGCTGTTGATTGTACACTTTGTAATAATACATCATTATTATTACTGACATCATCGTAATCTGGAGTTGTATTCTGATCATTACATAGTTTCAATTCAACAGCTGTTCTACTTTTACTTGTATCAAGATTGTACCCAGCTACTTCTGGACGTTGTACTGGTGATGTAGTATTATGTGCTGCTTTACGCGAATCTTTTGAATGATATTCCTTGTGAATTTGATTAGTTAGGTCATTGAAATCATGATTTCTGTTATGTTTTTTATCAGAGTTTATTAACAATAAGGAATTGGATAAACTGTCAACATTCTTCTCGTGAAGGTTCAACTTTTTCTTTTTCCTTCCATTATTTTTATCGTCAAGAATTCTCTTTACTAATTTACTATCACTGTTACTCTTAAAAGTTAATTGATTATGATTTTTATCATCATTATCTAAAAACCATTCATATGGTAATAAATTTGATTGTGTTTTATTTGATAAACGTTCATTGGTTATTTTACGCCATATGGATGCTGATAATGATGTAGGCTGTTGATATTTATGTTTACCTTGAGCATTTTTACGATCTCTCATTGTACATGTTATAAATGGAATTATAACAATAGCGAAGCCAGTTGTAAATGCTACCAGTGTAACAATTATTGCATGTAACATATCGTATTGTTCAGCTGAATCTTCATTCAAAACTGTTTCCTTATAAGACTGATATTTATCTCCTAATACTAGTTAAATCATTAAAAAGACAAAACATCAGTCATCTTTATAGACGCTTTTATATTTCTAGCCATTTTGTATTTTAATTAATCATTCTGATTAAAGCCTAACAATTGGATTACTATATTCTACTTAATTATTCTTACATAGTTTAGTGTGATTTCTTAGAAGAATCCTAAATAATAATTGGACAGATCCTTAATTTAGATTCAAATAGCACTTTTTATGTAGAAGTCTACGAAAAATTGATGTATTTACGTCCATGGATGATTATGTAGATAACTAATGACTGTTCCTACAATATTTATATCAAGAGTGTTGTATAAAAAGTATGATCTAAAAATCTAATCAGTTGTCGATACTGAGATATGGAGATTTATTTGATTTTGCTTTTCACACTTTTATTCTTGCAGGTATAATTTGTACATTCAGCATTTAAAAACCAACTGGACCAACATTAGCTACTACCTTGTCCGACATCGATACAAGTGAAATATCTACATTTTATAACTTCTAAGTCAAACGAATGTATCTTATTCTCTTAATATAAAATTCTATAAATAAATTACAACTTTTTATGTTAACTATGTAAGTGTCCCGACTACGACAGACAACATGAATTCACAGTCAAATAAACACCAATTTGAAATATTGACATATAAAAATATGGCACATTGATAACAAGGGAATTTTAGTAATAAAAAAGGGATAGGGTAAAGTCATGTATCTAATAGCTTTTAATAAGTTTTCCGTTCATTCATTTAGTTAACTTCTCATAGTTCAAGTTATGAGTAAATGAAACGGTCTACTTAGTTGATTAACAAACAACGCAATTAGTAAGAACAATACTAGTTAAAATGCACTGATAGCAATAACATTCTATTTAAATTTACCTTCTTGAGGTGCAACAGGCTTCTTAGTATCACAGCGTTCAAATTGAATCCACTCACAGTTTTCACAGCTTTTTCTTGTTCTCATTCGTATAGGATACGACACATGCTCTACAGTTATACATTCTGACCAAATAGCCCATTCGGGCGAATCCACTAAAATTAGAGAAATAGTATGATTAGTAAGATAATACACGTTATTTCAGTGTAGTTTTATTTACAAATATTGGTTGTTCCAAAACTGAGTGTTGATCAGGGTACTCAGTTGTTTCATTTTATTTTCAATCTGGAAATAAATATATCAGGTCCATTGCTATAACTTAACAGCTGATTTTCAGGCCCGATCGTAAGCATTGCGTTGAAATTCAACGACGAACATCTTAAAACCTTTGGATAACTTTATCAATATCTTTTGATCACGGAGTGACGTTAGCTAGATTATCAAAGAAATTAGATGGTATTGGACCTTTAGATACGAACTGATTCTAAAGAAAAATAATTACTGGTGAAATTATATATATATATATATATATATATATATATATATATATCGAAAAAGTTTTTGCTTACAAGGTTTTTCTATGTCAAGTTGTTCAACTTCGACTGATCGCTTCCGATATCTAACTTGATTTAGCCGTTGTTGTAAGCAATTCGTTTCACTAATTTCCAGTTCACATGGGACTGTTTGTACACTGTGCTCAAACCCACCATAACATAAGCTTGTATTATGTATCTGTGTCATTTCGCTGACAGGTGAATTAAATTCATTAATACATGTTCTAAATCGACGTTGTACTCCTCTTGGTCGAGCACAAGGTTCAGTTTTTGAACATTTACTCCATTCTGACCAGCAACTCCAATAACCTGTTTGAAAATGTATCCACAATAAAACAGATAATCATAATTTTGAATTTCATACAGGATTATCCACCGAGTTTAAAACATGAGTCAATCGTTGGTTACTATATTCTGTGTCACTGGTAAACAAAAAATGAGTTAAAACACATCCGAATCCAGTCTCTGAACTTTGAAGCTAGAACTTCATTATAAGCAACTAACAAATTGTGGACAAAAACTAGATAAATATTTTCAGTGAATGTTTATTAGATATTTAATTTTAGTAGCATCTTTACGTAATGTACATTTAAATGTCATAATTAATCGAATAGGTACCCAAAACATTCAAACCAGTCGTGAAGTGAATGCTTCAGAATTAGTATTTTGTGATTTATTTTCGATATTTACAAGTCTTTTTTGTGAACAGAAATGACTGACTTGCTAGTAAATTGTGGGAAACGACTTATAAATGTGATTTTTCATAATGGGGAATCGCTTTAATTGGGGAGACATAGTATACGAAACTTACTAGTGTATCGATAGTGTAAATATCTAACTTTAATTGATGCATTGTGTTGAACAACCATCTCTCATTGTGTTTGCATGAGTGGCTTCCTCACACTTGACACGGTTGAACCCCACTGATCACTGTTCTTCACTGGATCCCAGTTCAGTGGTTTAGAGGTTAAGTGTTCGTGTGCAAGACTGAAGGTCCTGGTCTCGATTCCCGCATCCAGGATCATAAATGGGTACTGATGAGGAGTTGCCTAAATTTGATCCGTTCGTGATTTCAATCAACTTAATAACTGAACACTATAAACTCAGGTCTTTCGGTCAGAAGAGACTCATCATTCCACTTCATCTACAAGGTGAACAAAAATCAACCGCCTACAGTACACTTTTGTGGTTTTCGCATTGCTGAAACTTCCAATGAACATTCTGAAAAGCCAGAATTATGTATATAAAAGAAGTGCATTCAACTTTTCATTGCCATTGCCTCTAGTTCTCAAAGATCATCACTACTCTTCTCTTAATCCATTGACCTCTTATCAGTAATTGACTTAATTCTGTTACCATGTTCTTTCTGATTGCATTTCAATTTCAAAAGTTATCATAGCATATAACTCATTTATGTGATAAGTGATTTTTATCTAAATTCTTCGGGATTTTTTTATTAATATTCAAAATCTTATTAACTACATATTCAACCTTTAAATATAAATAAGATCCTTATCATTCTATCTATTTTTTCTCTGTCTCTATATCTGATAAATTATTGTTATCATCAACCGTGGATATTATTGATTATCATTGGAAAAGAATGTATATTCTTAAGACTATATAGCTGTGAAAATGACTTCATCAAGAAGAAAACTTTTCAATAAATCCTTCAGTTTTTATTTAATTTCTCAAAGAGTGTTTTCTAACTATTCAGTTTCTGGACAAATTTTTCCTGTAAATGAAAAATAGCAAACTGAATATTTTCCCCGATAACTTTACCTGTGCATGATTGCAAGTTACATAGTTCATGTTCTATCTCGTAATCATTTTTAGTAAGTTTATCCATTGTGTTACGTAATAAAAATGGTTTAATTCTTTTACGATATCTGCTACCACCGCCACATGGTTGTGAACATTCAGTCCATGATGACCAATCATTGCTTATACTTTCTGACAAAACTGGTAGGAATTTTTCAAAATTTTCAAATGATTTATCTGTTGAGTAATACACAATAATATAAATATATCAAACTTATCATAGGTGAAAATATTTTTAATAGGTAATAAACTCTAATGACCAAATGGTTATATACTATTTACTATTAATTGATCACCGAATAATGACCAGTGTCATATATGTCAAGTCCTTCTTAGTACCGATCAAATTCCATCGATTAGGTTTCAGTGTGGCCACCAGTTTAACATTGCGTGCACTATGCTGAAGTGTAAGATAATGGTTGGTGGTAAATGACAGTACCTAGGTTTCGCGAAGTTAGGCACTCGTCAGTAAGGTTTACCTGTATTCATGAGGGACTAATTTACAGACAGATAAAGCTGTATAGAGTAGTCTCGTTATTCATTCGAAGGATTTAGTATGCTTATTTAAGTTGGCAAAATTTTAAACCGTGATACCCTTAATACCTGAACTATTATGGCATCTTCTTAAGCCATAATTTGAACAATTATATTTTCAGCCAAAATAGATCTCTTCACTAAATCATCTTGTTATTTTTTTTTCTCAATTAGTGCTGTTGTTGCATATACTGATTAAATGATCATTTTTTAATATATCACAAAATTGACCAATTAATCTATAACTTATGGCTAGCATCCAATCATTCTAGATTTCTTGCCATGATATTGATGAAAGTTTTTTTGGATCTATTACATCAAATTAGAAACACTAAGTTGTTTTTTTATAAAATATCATTCTTGCATGATTTTAAATTATTAGATTTTCAATATCACAAAACGTTCCTCGTGTACATTTTATTTTTATTCCTACCAAGTGTTTTTAAATATGCATACGTACCGATATTTATCTTAAAGTAAGTTGACAGATCATATTCCCGTTTCTCTGGTTCAATTTTAATATTTCAATATATGGTAATATAAGTTTCTCTCAGTTAAATAGCTTCAACGATCTAGTTACGTATAAGTGAATGAGATGAGGATAAAATGATACGGTACGTACACGCCTGCAGCAATACAATATGTATTACATCGAAATGAATCATTGTTCGTTAACCATACTCCATCCTAACATAAAAGTCGATTTATATGAGAGATTCTATTTTCACTCCTTTGATTTTATGCCGAAATGTCTTTCGATGATTTTTTATCTATAATGATAAGTCTGAACAAGGTTGAAAATCCTCACCAATCACTGTTTGTCACTGATATTATCACTAAAACTGTACTAGTCATATCATTTAGCCTTGACGGAATCGATATTATTGTTTGCTATCCTGTTTTCTGTCTAATCTAATGAAAATATCTTTGAAATAATCGAGTTAAATATATTTTTCCGGCTTAGGGATATGACTGACGTGGAGTACCTTTTATAAGAAAATTTAGATGTAAACAAAGTTCGTGGTCACGGACTTCACTCGATTTCTACATTAATCCTTTTTATTATGCTAAATATCAAGTGTCAATTGATCACCTGGTATGAAGTATTGGGAACTTCATTACTTAATTGAATTACTCTGATGTCATTATTTTAGGTTTACTTACTCTTTTGAAACCAGAATAATCATATTTCAAGTTCAGTAGGATGACATAATTTTGGTAGTAATAAACCATATACTATTAGATTGATTTCAACTAAAATCCATTCACGATAATTTCACATATGAATCTATGAAGACTCTCTGAGAGATCAGTAGATAAGCTCACGCTAAGTCAAATTGAATCTGTGAGCATCGTTGGCACCCACACTCGTACCCTAGAAACTAAGCAATTATTTACACTATGCCTTTTCGTTACTGGACCCTGTGTTTTGATTTGATTTGTGATAAAATGTAATTTTAAGTGACCGCATGGGAGCATATTTAAGGCATCAATGCTTCTACCACACAACAGTGCATTATAAGCATTATTTTTTGCAAAAAAATAAGTGTGATCGCTTTCTGTGGGTACAACCCTAACAGTAATAATAGGAAGTTATGAAAAGGTTAGTAATAAAACTTATTTATTCCGAAATTATGACTTCTTGTCATTGCAATAATGAGCAACTATCGACATGATCACACTAAAACTGCTAGACATATACAAATTCAGTGTGCATAAAATTGTCAGAAAATGACTTTCTACAAATAATGTGTACTATTTAGAAAGGTTTAACCAAACATTTAAAGTTTATATCTAGTTAAAGTACTTGCTCGAATGTCAGAAAAGTACAAAAAATGCAGTTGTAATAGAATATTTTGCTTAAATCAATCACGTTACTTACCAAGATCTTCACAATTAATTTCATGACTATCTTTGTCGATCTTACAGATTCGAGTCTGAGTATCGATTTGAGCTTGAAAACTACCGGATTCTGGTAATTTAGCCGAACATTCTACACGATATCTCCTTTGCACGTTTTCTTTCCCATTACTCTCATCTGTTATGTACCACTCACTCCAAGTAGACACTATTTTTATCGCTAAATAAGTAAGTAAAATTCGCAACCGAATTAAATATTTTGATTATTCTGTTTTACAAATATACGTTTTGCATAATATATCTTTCAGAAGAAAATCATCATACTTTTCCACGACTTTATAACAACTGACCAAATAGATAGGGATAGTTAAATTAGAATAAGCTATCATCACTGACTATTATGAACTGAAGAATTATTGAAAATCATTGATCATCGAAAAAGTTCTACAAATTTTCAGTCTTAATATTAAGGGTGTGCTGGTAAATTTCAGCCACATAGGAAGATACATAATATATTACTAAATTTCCAGAAGTAAATATAATAAAGCTCACTTGAACATGGATGAGTATTACATTTTCTGTCTTCAAAAGCTCTACCAATGCACATTAATTGATTTTTATTCTCTGACTGATCTTTAAGTAATGTTTTCACTTCATCCAAAGTGAATTTTTCTGCATAATCAGTCCTTAAACCATTTTTATCTTTACAAATACGTCTACGAAATTGTTTACCACCATTACACGATGATGTGCATGAAGTCCATTGCGACCAAGATGTCCATTCGAATATCGTTGTTGTTTCACCTGACCAATGGTTTTGAAAAAAAATTAAATAAAATCTAGTAATAGAATTTTGTTATTAAAATCATAACTAGGAAGTGTACTACAAGGTTAAATAGTGTATACAATACTCTGGTCTGCATAAAGCGAGATTCGTTAGACTTACACGCACGTGTTCCATAGTATCATTCTGAATAGATAAAGCATCAATAATACGAGTATTTAATAATGTATAATCACGGTAGTATATTCGTCAAAATATATTTCTCTTCATAGAATTTCCAGCTTATAAAATTCAGTCACGTAGTAAACAAGTTTGAGTAGGTTTAGGCCTACGTTGAAGTTAATGAAAATCTTGAATCTATGCGAAAAGTTTAGCCAGTGGTAGTTTGTACTCTTCTTTTTTCATTCAAAGTTTCTAAATAACAGTCAAATCGCTGTATTTTTATTTTTAAAAAACTAGTGTAATAATATGATATTTTCTAGTATATTATCATTACAATAACGTGAAACTACTTCCACTATTTGTTAATAAACACATGACTGTTAAGTATTTAAGTTTATTCGTTTGAGTCTGATTTCTGAATTTTTTCGCCCATTAATTACAGTCAGACTTAATTCGGAAGTTTTGAAATTTTATTGCCAAGAATGTGTTGATATGAAATATATTATGTATTTGTCTGAAACAACAAACTCGTCAAAAAAATTTTGTATTAGCGACGACGAAATCCATTTAAACAAAAGATTAAATCTAATAATAATTCTATTTAAGACAATGAAGTAGCCAATAGTTTGCATACATGGTTAAAGTTTATGTGACTAAATTTATGTTAAAACAAGTGTTTGCTAAGCACTGCAAACTGCTATTTATCTAAAATAGGGGTTAAAATTAATAATGAAACTCATCAGTCGTGTACAGACTTGAATATAAAACCTTGAGTCACACTGTAGTTATAGGAATTTTAGTGATACTTCTTGGGTTCCGCATACTGAAGTAGATGAAGCTGGTTTCAAATCAGTGATTTAATATTTAAGAGTAAACTGCCCAACCTCTAAGCTATCGCTCCATATTATTAATTCAAATGTTAAGTAAGATAACTTCATGCATAAATTCCTGTGATTGCTTATCATTTGTATGTTTCCTGGTGTAAAATGTTTCGTAATTAAGTGGTTGAGTATGAGGAAACTTTTACTAAAATATATACTAGTTGCTTTCTCACTAATTTTTATTTCTTAACAGAACAAATTTGACGAAATTCGGTAAATTTTAATCTTCAATCAAAAATTATTCCATTGTAAACTTATTTCACATACTTATGAATATAGTTTCAAGAATTCGCTAGATTCCTATCATTTACTTAACCAAACAAGGCGGTTGTTTTACAATCAGAGTGAAACGTTTATCTTATAAAGGCTTTAGGAATTACGTAGTTCTGCAATCACTTATCACCTGTATATATATGACTGAATCAAATTTTATGGGTTTTATCTAAACTTATTATCCTCTTTTTATAATGATGAATTAGTCCATAATTTTTACTATAAACTTAAGTGAACCGAACGTTACAAATGTTATTTTTTGGCAAATTCACATTGAATGACTATAGCGAACGATAAACTTTACGTTATTTGAACTAATTATTGAGCCGTGGGCAAGTGCGTATCTAAACCTCACCAGTTGCTTTAAAGTCAATTCAGTAAACCAGTTGTTTTCGGATACAATGTCGTTTGTCTCACACAATTCTAATCAAATAATATTCCAGTAATAGTAGATATCATTATAAGCAATGATAAATACTTATAGAGGATCACTATATAAATTATGTATCATTATAATTGCTTACTGGAACACCTGTTAATTTCTTTAGTACAAATTTCAGTATGTTTATCAGGTCCATGACATTTATATGTATTTCCAACTGGACTAGGATTAGAACACCAACGGTATCTTGTACGTATTGGTGTTACGTTGAATTTATGATGTACAGAGTAACAAACTGGTTCACATCCAGACCATGCAGACCACCCAGTCCAACCACCACTATAAGAACAACTGCTGATTTCAACTGAAGATCCATTTGAACATTCATTTTCATTGGGTTCAGATGAAATAGGTGAGTAACAAGATCGAAAACGACAATTACATCCAATCAATTTAAATTGTTCACTCGAATATTGTGTCAGTAATATGTTATTTTTATGTGTCCCTGATGACTGTTCACAACTGTTCCATTCACTCCAGCTACCCCATTCACTCTTAATCTTCATATTTGGGATTAATTCACTTTGAAAACAGGTATCTGAATGATATGTTACAATATTATTAAGTATTCCTTCTTCAGTACTTAAGTCAATACATTTTTGTTTTGCTTCACTCCATCCACAATAAGGATCTCGTAAAAGTTTACATCCTATTCTTTCATCACCAAATCGTTTGCATCTTGCAATAGGTAAACGTAGCAGACGATTTTCTATTGCTATTAAAATGTATGAGTCTTTGGATATCTAAACATTTTCAAAGTGAAAATTAAAAAAAAACTGGCGAAAAAACATTTGTTGTCTAAATGGTAACATTATACTTATTGATTAATACTATGTGATTAACATCAGGCCCTAAAATCTAAACCCAGCAATTGTCTGACAGCATAATGGGTTTAACCTAAATATGATCTTTTTGACCAAAATGATAAATCTCACCTGCTCGGAATGCCTAAAAACTATCTGGTAATTTTTATTTGGTTGAAAAATTGTAGTTATGACGAATAGACAAGTCCCCAACAACATGTAGTTAATATTAGCACGCTGACCTTATCTGTCTACCGATTGTTGACTTTTTATTTTATTTTAGCATCGTATTGTATGCACTCAATGTAATTATTGGTATGCTGTAAACAGAGCTGTTATGTCACACTTTCAGCTTCTTTGGAGAATTTAAATGATCTCTTTCCGAGAACCCCTCTTCTCTGTTATTACGACTTTAGCAGGATGTATCGGTTGAAGTGATGTGATTACGTTTCAAAACAAACTTCGTTTAAGACTTAATCGATTACGAATAAGACACTTCAATAACTCAGTATCATATGGTTCGAACAACAATCAATAAATTTATCCTATAAATAACTAGTTTATATTTTATTCAAGTACCATTAGTATAATAAAAATTTTTATTTTACGAAGCCATTTTGCATCCTACTACTTGTTTTGTAAGTTAATTCTTTATTTCAATGGCTAAGATCATGATTCAGTTGAAGCTAGACCACCATGGAAAACCTGGAGGCACTGGACGGCCGTTTCGTCCTATTGTGGGACTCCTCATCAGTGCGCATCCACGACCCCGTCCTTTGCGAGATTCGAATTCAGGACCTACTGGTTCCGCGTGCGAGCACTTAACCATAAGACCTCTGAGCCGGCGTCTAACGGTGTTAATGTCTAACTTCAACTAATCCCGAAATTGAGCGACACATTCACCATTGTCTTCAGTGAGTTACTATCTCACAACAGACCTGGTTGGTAGGTCCTGAATTCGAATCTCACAGGGGCGAGGTCGTGGATGCGCACTGATGAGGAGTCCCACAATAGGACGAAACGGCCGTCCAGTGCTTCCAGGTTTTCTATGGTGGTCTAGCTTCAACTGACTCATGATCTTAACCATTGAAATTACTACAATCTCCGCAAAACCCATCTGATATTAATTTTTTATTGCTTAAAATTCTTGTTTATACTCTCAGTACAATTCAGTCAACCTGTATTGATTTAAAAGATAGTTTAGTGCTTCAAAAATAGTATTATAGTAATGGAAGTATATGTCGCCGTAAATTATTTATTTATAAGTTTGATGTATCTAAATGATCATACAATTTGATTAAGCCCAGAAATAAAGATAATGTGAAAGTTTCTAAAACGTTATATGTAAATTTATTTTTAAAAAAATGTCTAGTTTAAACAAATTTATTGAAAGTTATCCATATGACATTTGTTACAGAAACTGCGCTGTCAGTGATCTTGTTTTTTTGGAAGAGGAGGATTGACTTATGACCCTTACGATGTAAATTCCTTCATTTAATTCATTCAAATCTAACTAATAACTATAATCAAACTATTAAATTTATAAATATCAGTTGCTTAACATGTTATTCAATAAGTTATTCATTCAAAATATTTTTTAACATTTGCAAAGATAAGCTTATTTTGATTTCATTAGTACAATATTCAACTGTATAGTGTATGGAAGTGAAATATTGTAATACTGACTTGGATTACTGTCAATTTTAGTTAATAAACGGAATACATCCATTAAGACATTAAATAAAAAAGACTGGTTCGGCGAAGTGTTCTCTTTTCGGCGAATTATTTTCCAAAGCTATACAATCGTAAATATACATATACTTATTTATTGTTATTGTTGTCCTGAAAATTAATTATATATATATTTGCGATTGTACAGCTTTGAACATGAATTCGCCGAAAAGAGAACTCTTCATTGAACCAATCTATCTTATTTAATTTCTGTTAAGCTATAAAGCTTCTAAGAACATGATAAAGTGTCATTTGAATTCTATCAATATTTCACTTGAAATTAAAATATTGTTGACTGTTAACAGTTGACTGTAATTCAAATTAAATAGTATTAAAAATAAATATAGATCAACATTGGAAAGACCAATCTGTAATAAAAGTAGTCACTAATAGATGTCTGTTGGATCAGTTTAATGAAATTATTTTAGTAGTTTAAATTTACAATATTTACAAATAAAGTTAAACTATAAATGGAAATATATTCACTTTTTTATTTTGATTATTATAAATAATTTGCATTTGAACATTCTTGGTTGATAGACTTTTAGAAAATCTCGGCATTAGATAAATTAGTTCTATAAGGCATAACTGGAATTCTTTTACATGCCATTTATATAATATCCCTTCAGAGTTAGTCACAAAATGACCATATTCATATCACTTCTTAATGTTCCTGGGATTTTACTGACCACAATTTGTGTATATCTAAAAATATATATAAATAGAACAAACATATTTATGTAAATACAAATGATGTAACCAGAGATTTAAACACAATTCAAAAAACATTTGACTACTGAGTATTGAAAATATGTTTTACATCCGAAAACATTCAGTAGAAGAATATATTCCTTTCATGTACTCGACAGGGAACTGTAAGGTATATTACAAATAAAATAAATTTATCTGTTAGGTCAGATTGAATTGATATGATGGATCAAGTCTTGTATTCAGACTATCGGCTGCATAATCCTACATACTAGTATGTAATACTTTACGAAAGGAGTAACATGGGTGAACTGTATTCACTAACCTACGTTCAGTGTTGTCTAATTTACTGGAAAATAGAACAAACTACTTTAATCATTGGAAACACTTATCAATGACTGAATTCCTCTTATGATCATATTGTTGCCTGGTCACTTTTATATTATTAAACATTCTAATCCATTTGCAGTAAATCACTCAATTTCAGTTTCTCTGTTAATCGGCGACTGTAAGTATTGTATTAGTTAAACGTTAATCAAAAAGTAAAAAAAAAGTCTAGAGCATTATAGTTTGTCCGGTAATTAAAAGTTTCAATCTCTATATATCATCTATTTATTTGATCTTCTTTATTCAAGGTATTTATCTGTTAGTAACTGGTCAATTATAAGTTATCACAATTGATTGATCACTGGGTGATCAATGTCATGTGTGTCAAGTCCTTATTTAGTGCAGACCGAATGCTATCAACGATGTTGCAATGTGGCCACCAGTCTAAGTGACTCGACATTGCGGGCACTATATATTGATAAGAGATGGTGGGTGGAGGTAGTCGACAGAAAACCCTGGACCCGGGTTTCGTGCTACCTGGCACTCGTCAGCAAGGTGTACCTGTAATCTTGAGGGAACTGGTGCTCCCTGGCGGATTCGATACCGTGTCACCCAGCTTCACAGTCAGAGACGATACCAGTGAGCTAGTAATGTTTTGAACATATTCATGACATTGATTTAAAACTAAAAGTAATGAATTACTTTCTATGTTATCAAAAGTATAGAATTAGTAAACGCTGTGTTTTAAAATGTAATTAAAACTTACATTTCGCCTTGCTGTACTAGAATTGGTCTGTCGTATCGTGGTCTGACAGTTTTAAACATAAGATGATAGTCATTTTTCGAATACGGATTTGATGCAACTTTATCACACTAAATATAGTGAAGAGATAACATTATATATTACTTAACTGGTTGTATTGTAACTGTACAGGTAAAAAATTATACACATTGAATGTCATGTAAATAGCTCTTAAGATTTCTGAACTTCGCTGACTGTCTGATGATCAACGAGCCAGAATTTGAACATTTTACGTCGTTATATTTAATATAACAATTTTTGACTGATATATGCAATACTGATAAAGTTAAATTACGGGCTAAATTTAACTGGTAATCTTAAAAATTCAGTACTTTAGTAATTAGATTTAGAGATTTAACTTGCTGTCAGTTATTGAGTGTTTACTAACCTCTCTGAATATGGAATATCTAGATTTAGTATCAGGGTGGGGTTTGTGGAGATTTTAGTGACCTTAGAAGTTGAATTCATAAGTTTTGACCAGTGGGACCCGACCCGTGTCGCGTAGAGACAGGTATCCACCTCAGACAATGGATAAAAGCTTGCTCAAGATCATGGATCGATTGAAGTTCTACATTAACACTGTTAGATGCTGACTCAGTAGTCTGGAAGTTAAGCGTTCGTGCATGAGACCAAAGGTCTTAGGTTTGAGTCCTACGTGCGGGATCATGTGTGAGCACTGATGATGAGTTCCATACTGGGACGAGACAGGCGTCCATTTCTTCCAGGTTTTCAGTGGTGGTCTAGCTTATATTGATTCACAAATTCAACTATTAAAATCTAGGATTGTTTAATTTTTGACTAAATCTGACGGACGAATGAGCGAATTGTATACGAGCTAATAAATAATCAGACTGTATGCTATTTCTGTTTAATATTCTACGATAAGAATATTAAAATCCAAATACATGATTTACTTGACAACTAATCATTTATTTGCTGAGTATTAATATAGGAGATGCTCAAAACACTTGGCCTATAAAGAATAGTGAGACTTCTTGAATGATCAAGTTTTATAATACATGCACCAGTAGCTTTGTCCTAAATACTTTCAACTTCAAATCACTGAATTACAAGTTCAAACTCCTTATCCAGTTTCCTCGGTCAAATAATGCAATTGACTGTAACATAAAATATGTTACTTAAACTTCAGTACGTAAATTTGAGCTTTGTGTGTCAAGTCTTATAAAATTCAAGCATCACAGTTCAGTAACGAGAGAAAGTTCACAAACACTGAAATTCTTAAGGATAATAATAATTCTTATTAAAACCTGTTCCTTGAGTTGATATGGACATCTGTACATCAAATAAATTTCTAGGAAAAATAAAGTTTTCATACATTATAATCATTCCTAGTTGCTGTGGCAACTCCATCATTTTTATAAAATTCTCCATTAAATACTGACTCAATCTCTACCAAACTGTATTCACAGATAGCTGATGCAGTTGGCATTGATCTAGAATAGAAGAAAAAGGTGTGTAAATGAATCATGGAACACAAAGATAACAAATTGTAAGAATATAAACTATGTAATTTACATACGAAAAAATATACTGCGTTGTATTTAAGAGATAGTACTGAATATAACTGAAGTTGATATTCACATTACTCGTCTTAATAAGGTATATGGTAAATTAAATATTTGAGTTCCACGACTTATAAACACAGATAAGAACTATATTTATAAAGCAATCACGTGGTGATTTTGGATCAAGACAGCATTAATTTAACGCCAGGATACACATATTGTACTCTTAAGATTACTGATACTTAACGATTCAACGGCTTCACATTAATTCTCAACATTACTAATGGCTTTTTGTTATTTACATTAATCTAAACTTTTTTGGCAGAAATGCATAAATAACAAGAGCCACTCTAAGCTAGATCACCATGGAAAACCTGAAATTATCGGGAGGTCGGTTTGTGCTAATGTGGGACTCCTCAGCAGTGCATATGCACAACCTCGCACATGGAGCTCGACCACAGGACTCAATCTCGCGCGCTAACGCCTAACCTGTAAACCCCTGAGCCGGTATCCAACGGTGTTCATGTCCAAATTTAATCGATCAGTGATCTTGAGCAACCACTCATCCATTGTCTGAGGTGGACAACTCTCGCACCCTAATTCAACTGTGAAAATACTACAATCTCCACAAATCCTTATGGTTAACAATTTGAGGTAAGTGCTTTATCTTGTTTGAAATGAAAATTAATTGTATGTAAACAAATCTGTTTATTCATGTGAACAAATATACGGTAGAAAGCCCGAAAAACAACAAGATAATCGATCAGTTATGTAACTCTGAGCTCAGGTCCAATAGTTTATTCGTGTTTCTATATTATATTCAATTAGACTAAATTACCGAACTCACGATGAGGTTTGGAACGTTCCAAATAAAGTTTTAGTTGATTGATCCACATACACAGCCTGAATTTCAGTGAATACCAGACTGTTAGAACCATCTTCAGGTGTTGACAGACAAGTAATTGTTGCTTTGAGAAAATTATTGAAAACACCGAACATGTTTCCATCATCTGACTAAATCATAAAATTTAAAAGTTACGGATATCTGACTACTTACTAAAATAAGAGTAGTTTACTGACCTTGACTAACAAAAGGTATGTGAAAAACAAGAATCTAATTTGTAGAGGTTGTATTTGATACGAAGAACTCCAAGTTGAAATGTAATGCTTATCACGTGAAAGAATCTGCCAAGAACATTTTTGTATCAAAGTTAATGGATCCAATCCGGATATATTTTCGCACGTGAGATACTACGTATGAGTTTAAGCACCTGAACAATATTTGGCTAACTGTTTGCTTCGAAGCGAGTCATGACTTCGGTAAGCATCCTCAGACACAAGTGTTTGTGTGCTTAAAATAAGAAATGTTTCGGTCCTCTCGAAAGTATAAACAACGTCATAGAAGTAAATTCCGGTAGTTCTGAGTGGTCATCACATTGAATATCTAACTTTTCAATGATCCTAGAGGTAAACAGCTAATAAACTCCTGTTTACAGAATTATTACAATAACATTATCATGGTCATCAAACTATTAAGAATGAAATGTGTTTCTGACAATCATTTAGTGAATTTGGACAGCATAAGTGAGCATATTAATCCATAACTCATAAGAGTTTCAAGACTAAATTAATGAAAATTGCCCGTCGTTTACTTTTTATGTGATCATGCATTGTCATTTTATTCTACACCTTAAAAGCATAGAGGCTATTAAAAATGCATAGATTGATGTCCTAAAGTTCTACATATTGTTTAGATTGCTGTTCGAATTTGTTTGCAAAGATATATTAATTACCTTAATCATACATATTCAGAAATGTGCCTCTCAAGTTTATGAATATTGATACTATTACTAAACATTCCATAGCACGATCGGAGTACGTAATTCAAGTTATACATCGATATAATTCATTTATAACTTTGTTTGAATCACAGCTGTTGTTACGGTTTACTCAAGTTTACACAAAATAATCGACTTATGACAGTTTCTAAGTAATATATATATATATATATATATATATATATATATATATATATATATATATATATATATGAAAATGAAGACTTACACTACACAATCGACCGATTCGTGACACAACAATCTGCAGTTATACAAAAAGATATATACAATAATAGATGAAAGAGCTTTGGTTAGTTAATGATTAGCCAAACAAGTGTGACTTTTACTGAACAAAAAATTTTCACTTACATTTCATGTTTTCAGCTGCTATATATCATTTATCTTAGACTCATGACTTGTATACTGTTATAATTTCTGTTGGTTTACAGTAAAGAACCAATCGTCTAACTACTCTCAACTTCATTTTTAATTCGTTTCCTTTACTTGTGATGGTATCTCTTACTAATTTCTTCGCGCTGTTTTTTTATTGTGTGAAATTCTCCTGAAAATCTGTTGATTGAGAATGTCTTGAATAGCCTAGAAATCCATCTCTTAATGTATTTTCATTTATTACTGTCACTGTCATATTACACTGGTATGTTATGTTTTCCTGATAAACATTAAGTATTGGAATTCAATTCCCACTCAATTATTTGAAAGGAGCATTGTATTTCTGACTGTACTGTTTATGGTATAATTTATAGGTAGGTAACTCACAGTTTCTGGTTTTTATACCTTAAGTATTTTTTCTGCGTTTTCAGACAACTTTCATTCTTTGGTTTTAAAACTGTATATACAACTAGGTTGTTGGAATAAATTTCCTGAATGACTTAGAAAATCGAACATTTCCAGTACTACATCATAAGTAATCAAATCTTATTTACCGATAAATATTCCAGTTTTGTTCCATAAATATCAAACAGAATTATGGAATTAAACTTTTTGATTACTAACCGGTTATTTCATATGTATTTAATACAAAATGATCTGCTTCCTAAAAGGCATTTTAATAGTCTATAAAACTATTATATATCGTTCATCACATTTTGATGCTTGAACAAATTAATGTAATTCTTATTACATGTCTTTATATCTTTGAATAGAATACCTTCCATTGATTCCAAGGAACTCTTCCTATTCAGCGAAAATCTCGTATTTATTCATTTTTCTTTAAAAAAAATACTTACAGATTTATCACAACTTTCAGCTGTCTCATCAGCCAGTTCTCGAAACAAAAAGTACACAGCATTGTGAAACTCGAAACTATGTACAAATATTGTATTATCTGAAAAAGATTAATAAACATTTAGTTTGGTTTGCATTTTCTGTATTGTATAGCGTAAGATAATTATCAAACATCCTAATGATAACCTGTGAAATCCTAAATATACCAAACACTTAAGAAAGGTCTGATTCAAGTCTCAGTAATCTTGTATGTTGGAAAGATATCTGACTCCGTCAGAACACTGATTTCTCAGAAGGTACTTTTAATTCATGAGACTAAATGTATGACGACACAACATTTTAGAAGTGGGATTGTATATTTAGAACTTGTATTATGTTCCCGACTATTTATGATTTCATGTAATTATTTTTTCTACATTTTTACATGTGCTTTTGTAATAAATATCAATTGACTTAACCTATTGTGTCACTGAATAAAAAAGACAGAATTCACCGGAGAAAATTTTCTTTTCGACGAAACCATCTACTTTAGGTGTACCTTAGTTTTTATAGTTGTATGGTAAATATATGTCTATAGGGGGGTAGAAAAGACTGCATCATAAAGTGATTCGAGACTCCGATTGCCAAGTGAGGTTATGTAATAATCAAGGGGTTAGAGAAGAATAGGAGGGTGAAAATAACGTACGGGTTGAAACCCCTCTCTGATTAGAATTATAATTGTCAAATTGACAGATATGACGCAAAACGGCAAACATAAAGGTCATAATAATAAATGATCACAGTTTAAAATTAAAAAATAATAGTCTTTTTTTGAAAAAATCCAAAACACACAGAGTTCAGGCTTGAATTGGTAGATCGCTGATGACTCAGCAGTGAAAAAGTTTTTAATCCGACCTTCCTTCGATCCAGTCCTTTTGATCGTGTAGATTGTTTTAAGAGAAGACTCCTCCGGAGCAACGTGTCCAGAGTTGATTAGGTTGTCCTGTATTGAACTGGTAACTGTTTTGCATTCTCCTTTAAAAACCCCGCCGGGTAGTGTTCTGAGATGTGTTTAGAAAGTGATTGTTTTGTGCGATTAGTTTAACCTGCTGAATTCTCTTTATTTTTATTCAATAAATATGAGTTATCTGTTAAGGTGATAAGTAGAATGTTGATTTGAATATCCTTATCGCTTTCATTAAAAAAAACTATCTAAGCATATATCTAATTTCACTTGTTTCTCATTATATTTACGATTAGAAGTATAAATATTCATTTGAAGCATTTAAACTGTTGCTGCTAAAGAAAATTTGACTACCTATATTCGAAACATATGTTAATGACGATAATAAAGACATGTAACTGTTTGTATAGAATGATAAGAATTTGTGTGCAAGTATGTGTACGAGATAGTGAAAGGTTTTGTTGTTTAGATAAAAACATTGATAATTAACTAATAAAGTATTTGAAAAATGTGTAAAATGAGGCTGACAGTAGCAACTGTGAAAGTAGTAATTGCTACATATTTTAAAATGACAACGGCGTACAAAACATTGATTTGTTTCAATCACTGACTTAATAATTATCTTCAAACTGCGAAGCATTTAAAAAGAATTAAACAACTAGGTATAGACCTATCATGTTATACTTTGATCAGTATGTATGATACACCTACTATTTTTTATATACAAAAGAGCAATTTCAGTTTAGATGATTCCAATTCAGGTTATTAGTGATTAACTACAACTTGGGAGACTACCTGAAAACTTGTCACTTCCTTATATAAACTATACAATTACTTCACAATTGTTCATGCTCTAAGTAAATACATAATGAACTCAAGTATCTGCGATTTATCTAGTGAGTTGTTTTTACTCTTCTAGTTCCTAAAGACCAATTCTTGATTCCATGAATGGATACCTTTTGCTGCCATCTCATACGAAGTTAGTATATCAAATTAAACTGTTAATTTAATGTGCTACATAAACGTTTTATACAGATTTAAATGAACAACTTACCTATAAATGCAAACAGATTTACTGTTCTTGAATTTGGACAATTATGGCTAAGGCGTACCACTTATTTCATGAAAGATCAATACGGAAGTTGGTCATAATATACTTGATCTAATATTTAGTAGAGATATCATCCCACTGTATGTACAAGTATACAATGCATTTGAAAGCAATGACCATAAAATAGTAGTTTATGCTCTCCCTAACTGTCCGTCTTATAACCAACCCATACAACAAAACCCGTCAATATATAGACTATAAGCATGCTGACTGGGACCTCCTGGATTCACTGATTAAAATTTCGAACTGGATGCCATTGAAACATTCTATCTAATCGTTACGTCTTGTTTAGATTCCTGTGTACCTCTTAAAATGTACAGGTTCAGTAAACCTTACGAATTATATATACCAACTAAATATCGTAATAAACTAAAACGCCTACAGAATCGTTATTTTAAGTCAAACGAATTCACGGCAGTTGCACAAATAACAATAATTTTTAATCAAATCAAAGAGAAACATAGATTAAAAGCCATTAATGAGGAGATACTAGCACTTAATACTAACTCAAAGGTGCAAAACTTAACTCTCCTTTTCAATAAACGCGCTAAAGCAACTCAAAATGTTGATATACTATGCATCCTGTATAGCGACACTTATATGCAACTCTAAAAATATAGCAGACCTTTACAGTGGTATTTTTGCGAATGGTGTAGAAATAATAAGTGGCTCTGCTTCAAGAGTTATGTGCGTGAATAACAACTCAATAAAATCTATCTCCTTTACATGCTTGAAAATTAATAAGGTTATTAATACCCTTAAGCTTTCGAGAGGTCATGTAGCGGACGGGATTGCATCCTTTCTCTAAAAATATGGTGGTCCAGATATTCCACTTCTTCTTATAAAGCTGTTTACTTTCTCTATGGAAACAGGTTCTTACCCTTACTGTTGGAAAACCGCGTACATCATACCACGTTACAAATCTGGAGATAAGATTGAGATGAACGATTATCGGCCCATAAATATTACGCCAGTTAACCCTAGGATTATGGAAAAAATTATAAATGATGAACTTTCCAACTATTTACTCGCTGGAAAATTTATCAATGATACTCAACATGGATTTCTCAAAAATCGATCTTGCATGACATATCGTTTTGACTTCTTTAATTTAGTCTATTCTCTACGTAGCCAAGGATATCTAGTCTTAGTGCTATATCTGAACATTTCTAAAACCTTCGACATGGTTAGCCACCAACTTCTTGTAGGTAAACTCTCATCTTATGGGGTTCAAAATACTTTGCTAGCTTGGTTTGATTCCTTTCTCAACAATCGACATCAAATAGGTAAAATTAACTCTTCATTGTCTAACGCTGTCGCTGTTAGAAGTGGAGTGATACAAGGTAATGTCTTAGGCCTTTTGCTCTTTTTGGTGTTTATCATTGATATTTGTGAAAGTTTTTGTGTGGATAAGCCCCTTCTGTATGATGATTTTGAAGTAGTTTATTCATTTTCTCCACATGAGCTGAAAAATATGCAAAATTTCATCAGCATGGAGCTTAACAAGGGAGCACAGTGGTGCTTAAAATGGCAACTGAATGTTAATACGGCTAAATGTGGATGGATATGCTTCGGCGATACATCGCTCAACGTAGACCTTACCATAAATGGATGAGCGTTATCTAGGTTACATACAGTAGTAGACTTAGGACTTAGATACTCCCAAGACTTGTCGTTTACAGAACAGATACTGGAACAGACCTCCAAGTCTCAACGTCTAGTAGGTTACATAACTCGAAACCTTTATAACAATGAGTCACGTATTTTAATGTACAAAGTTTGTGTTCGACCACTTCTAGAATATTGCACGTTTATTCTCAGCAGTGCGTGCATAAAGGATAAGTTAAGGTTGGAATCAGTACAGAGACGATTTACACCTTGGATTCTTGGAACTGGTTGTACCGTGAATTATAAGTTCAGATGTAATAAACTTGAATCCGACCCCCCATACATGTCATAAATGTACTACCTAAACAATTTTTGAACTAATAAACCTAAAACAATCTTATAGCATATGCATGTTCTCTACATTTAGTGTTACTATTTATACCAAGCTGATCATGCCTGTGAAGAGAGATAAATCCAACCATGATTCTGACTGTAACAGCATATCAAAATAATATTCTTGTGTAAACAACATCGATAATCCATTATCCATTAAAGTAACTTGATCAACTTACTATTTTGTTTTATCATTCTGTCATCAGGTGATGTGCGAATAGGATATTTGAATGGTTGGATTGAATTCAAATTTTCTACAGAATTTATTTTCATAATACGCATTTCAGCGTTTTTAAATGATCCTATTTTGGTACCTATGTACAAATTTTGTGTACTTGCGACAAAACCAACTGCTGGTCGATCAGGATCTATTGGACAATGATCTACACTTTTCCAGTGTATTTTCGATGGAGCACGTAAATTGTTAGCCTACAAAAGATAAAGATATTTTAAAAATACATTTTATACCACCAAATATAACAGACTGTTACTCAATCAGTTACTTGTGAATATAAAAACAGCGTCGTGTTTCAAGTTGGCTTAAGTTCTAACCAAAAGTATTTCACTTTGTATAATGAGTTAATATAATAATAAAAACATATACAAATACATAGAGGATAATTGCGTTAAACAGTGTTGCTTTATTATAAGACTAAATCAATTTGAATATTAAAAAATCATTCTTCATAAATTTACATTTGAGTTTATCAGTTGTATTCCAAGGTATTTTAAGTTTTATAGGTAATAAAAAAAGATTATCCCAACATAAATATAAAGTAATGAATACTGACAATCATTACTGATATTCAAATATCCTGATTCATCAACAATTGTCTAATAAAAGTTCAGTACTTATTGTTTTGTTTAAGATCGTCTTGTTGATGACCAACTTTAGTAAAGACGTCAGGTATCTTTTTTTTTAGTCAAAAGTTATCATGATTACTTCTTGTTCTCTCTTAAAGTTTACACTCAATACTAATGAGTTTAGATTAGATCATGTTCATAAAATGAAAAAAAACATATTGGTCTTTATTTTTACTGACAGACTCATTCATTGATGATTGAATGCGGGTTTATTGATATATGGTATTTGAGTAAATTAGAAACAAAATAGAATGTAAGGTATGTATATTTGATACTTATTGATTACAGTCTGACAAAATTCCCAGTTGAACTAATAAATAATAAACTATTTTTAACCATAAGTAAAATAATTCACACCATTGACCACCTTATAAAATATCGAACTAAATATTTTATGTAAACGGTACGTTATTCAATTTAAGTATTTAATTAAGTATACACACAATCAAACTAAAAACAATTCTGTATTAAACAATTTACACTATGGTAACAAAAAGTCTATCAATGATGATTTCATATTTTAAGAGCTTGATAAAGTAAACAATATTAACTAAATAGAAGGGTAAAACGATGATTATTCACCTTTTTGAACAAGATTTTATTTTCCAACTTGCAAATACCATATCATGATTATTTCTCAACGTTAAGCATACAAGTTTACTTCAACTGTAATTTATGTTTCAGCCTGCAAACTACTTTTTTTTTTAAAAAAAATTAATTATACATGTTCAATGGTTTATTGGGTTTCATTACACTATCACTGAGGGATCCTGATTATGTTATTATCTATAAATTTGATTATATTATTGGAATTAATCCAGTTAAACAAAAAAATTTAATTGAGCTAGATAAGAACCGTAATTTGGTAATAATTTTGTATAATTTATGATCTATAAGCTAATTCTATGCTGTGTCAATTTGTAACCGACCATACATTCAATTTACCAGCAGAAGATACTTCAAACATTCCATGAATAAATGTGAAAAATCAATCTTGCACAATTTGTCATTCATAAGAACATAGATGTTTTTAACATTATGTGTATTTACTGAATAAATTCATAATGCTTACATTATTCAAATCTCAATAACTATTATAATTATCACTGGAAGTCATCAACATTATAATTTACCTGCTTATATTGATATAAGATTTATGTAGTAGGACAATACGTAAAAAACTAACCTGACGAAGTGAACATTCAGCTATTAATCCATTGGATAAACATACATAAACTCCGGCTCGATGTAAAGGTGAATCATTTAGCCCAGGAAATATTTTATCTACAACTTTTAGCAAAGTCACAGCATATTGATTACATGGAATCTATAATGAATTCAATAAAATTATTGTAGAAGTATTTACATTTCAAGTGATTATTTATGACAAAGAAATTTTAAATGAAATATCATGGGAAGAAATTATATCTGAAAGAACTTTTCTCTACATTCAGTTTGAATTACATATAATCCTGTTGCTATTAAATGGATTAATTTACCATGAGGCTGAAATGTCATCAATATAAATTATTTATTATTTAGTTGGAAAAATATACACTTTCATTTGCAGTCATTATTTACTAGTATTAAATGATTTTCAAATAATATGGACTAAAAGTTATCTTCGATTATTTCAAATAAGACCTTCTTCGTTTTAATGACTGACTTGATATTGTAGATTACATTTTTAATGTTTGATCTACGATAAGTGGTTTAATATCGTCGCGTTCTGAATTCGATTTATACAAAAGACCCTGGAACTTGATTTTCTATTTCTGAAGACTGAATAGTAAGATCTTTCTGGAATCTGAAGAAAATACTCGCTTATTCACTGTGCTTTATAGTCAGACATTTTCCTACTAAGTATGTCCCACTTCTCAAACAATACACACCATACAATCCTATAGTTCCTTCAATACATAAATATTTTACTGCTGCTATGAGCTACACTGAATTGACAAGTACATTAAATCTGAGTTTTACTACAGCTATACATTTAACTTGATTATGAATATCAATATTCATGAAACTGGGGTCCATGGCTAGTTGCAGTTTAATATTTATTATTAAGTAGTGAGTTAACGTTATATTATAAATGATTCGTCAACAATGAATTATAAGTTGACTTTAGAATCATTACTAATAGTCTAGCAGTCACTGTGATTTTGAGATTAATGAAATACCACATAGTAAAAGGTGAAAAATTAAGCATCGTTGTGTAATTATTTAGTTCATCAAGTGCCTATTAAGTGACGTTTATATGTTAGACGTTAAAACTATATAATTATTAAAGAATTTATAGTTTAAATAATTGTTATTCATGAATATATACTATTTTCGAATAAGAAATAATTCTTACTGTATTGGGTCATAAACTCCATACTATATGCTTCTAGCTTTGATTTAAGATTATCCTAATCTGGTTTCGTTATTAAATGAAAATGCATAAGGTTGGCCCATCTTTCTTTTTGTTCGTGTCTTTTCTATCTGTACTTACTCACGCTTCTCTAATTGTTCCCCTGATACAAAAAGTACCTTTTGGATAGATGTGAACCGCTACGCATAAAAACTGTCTGATATCCTTAACTTTTTTTCATTACAACCTATGATATTTAAAATCATAATTACATAATGGGTTTAAATTACTTACATGAAATGGTTTAGTTGGGAGTCATATTGAAGACAAATTAGTATAGTATATAATGGGTGTAAATAAATTTAATAGACTGAATATAGTAAATATATACTTTATGTAAAAGAAAATCCTACAACATTGATTGTAACAACAGTTCAAACGGCCAGAAACAAGTGATTACACATTTAGTAAACGCTGATGGTAATAAAATGAGTAGAGCTCAGTTAATAAACTAAGATTACTAATCTGGAAGATAATTGAAATAAAACTCAATCATGTAGTAAATACAAGAAAGAGTAAAAAACGTTTAAGATGTAACGAAGGAATATTTGTCACCAGGGCAAGGCAAGATTAATAACCATCTCATTTTGAATTATTATTATTTTCTAAACAGAATACTTATCACCCAAAATAATTATTCATCATTTTGTAATTCTTATTGCTTTTTTAGATGAGATCATTTTATTAACAAAACCTTTTCAGGGATATAGATTTCTTCTATTTAAAAATAGTATATATAGTATACAGATCAAAGAATGTCTATTTTGTTCAATGTACAAAGGTATTTCTTAACAAATAAATATGAATAAGCACTACAGATTCAAATATCCACGTATTCTTTTTGTTTATAACATTATTTTCAATAGTGTAGAAGATTATTAGAACTATGTGATGCATTAGCGCAATACATTTCGAACGATCTAATCACACATAATGTGCTTGTTAAGAACATTTATATATAAAAATAAAAGGTCAAATTGACCAGAAATGGAGGGTAAGAGGAGACAAAGATAATAAGGGAAATAATGTGAAAACAATTTGAACATGTGAACATGTACTTAAATAGTACTTATATAGCATCAAATAGTTCAATAAGAGTGGAAGATAAACATCCAAACACATAATTAAAACAGGTCATAAAATTGATCTTAACTCGACTTTTGTGGTAGTGTACAAAAGTGTGAAAGGGTGTATACTAGGATTTATTGAAGCCTTAACCCCTCCGTTTGTTTATTCGAAAACAGTTTGTTCTCCCCTTAAACCTACCCTGTTAATATTAGCTTATTAGCCAGAGTGATGAGGTTTCAGATTGTTTTCATATAATTTCTTTATCATCCTTACCCCCTATTTCTGGTCAACTTGACCTTTTATTTTTATATATAAATGTTCTTAACAAGTACATTATGTGTGATTAGATCGTTTGAAATGTAATGCGCTAATATATCGCATAGTTCTGATAATCTTCGTCTTCTTATTACACCATCGAAGTATAACATTACTGTTACAATAAGCATAAATAATAATAACAGCTATTCAAAATAATATGAATTTAAATATATTGACAAAAATATATTTCCATTATGAGTTAAGTACACTTTACTAGTAAATGTCATTATTAATAGAATTTTAGTTGATATGCTTTTATTAACTTCGTGAAAGTACCTTGCAGCTAATCAGAAGTAAATACTATTTATAAAGCCCCTGTCATATTAAAATACTTATATATGAACAACAAAAAATTCTTTTCGATAAATTCTCTCCAGGTTCTGCAATTACATATCCAAATTAAAAAGTGTGACCACTTTTTGGATTATAAATTTTAATCTGTAACTGTAGAACCTGAAAACAGATTGAAAGGAATATTCTTCATCTATAAGAGAATACATTGAAATAAGTATGACATTGCCAATTTACATATCAAGACAATATATATTATATCTAATTACAGGGAATAGTTGCATAGAAATATATCACTTACTTTTCTATTAGAATCTTGTTCAGAACAGGTTGATATATCTTGACTAGACAATGACCAACTAGCTTCATCTTTTTTTATGAAGGTTTCTGCAGAAACTCTTATAATTGAATTACTGTCAAATAAGAAATTATAGATTAGAATAATGAATAAATAGTCAAATTTCCACAGTAATTATTTCAAAATTGTAATTCGTTTCTATTGACAACAAAATATGTACGAATTTTGATAATTTAAGTGTATTTTACAGAAAAGAACTCCGATGAAATATATTCAGTTAATTATTCGCGTTTATTTCTGAAATTAATTGTCTTCTTCATTAAGCATTTTGCTAATCTCAGTGTAAAACGTTCGTGACTTAAAATCAGATTATCATGAGATTGAAAGACAATAAAATACCATTGATGGCATAATAAACTTCAATAGATTACATCTAATATCGTTTTCCACAATATAAAAGTTGCAAACTATGCAAACTCACTTTACTGCAACAAACAAACTGTTTGACGATGAATGAACAGATATTTGAACTATACGACTCTTCTTTGGGAAAGTAAAACTCTTATGTGTTGACATCCATTTAGGATGAGAAATGAAATCTGTAGGATGAAACCAAAATATAGCTATGTAGATAAGTATGGAATTTCTATGGTAAATGAAAAAAGCACAAAATACATCCGAAAACAGTTTTGATGATACATCAAAATTAGTCAAGTAGATATTTGAATCACAGAGAAAACTGTATTGCATAAAAAGTACAGTATTACACACGCTTATTATCCATAAAGTTACAAATGGGGGTGATTTCAAGTACCTGGTAAACGATCGTTTCATAGTCTTGGAATTTATTTTCGTTACTTTAAAGTATAAATTATTAGGCATATATATTTTATTTGATCACTGATGGTCATTGATATGTTGATTATTCAGCCAATCATATTTCATGTGAAACTTGATAACCTGGACCAAATTCCCATATTCTAATGATTAGAAATTCATAAGAGAACAAGCAAATGTTCAAGAATGACAGTTATTGAATCGGAGTCAGTGAATACTGTACAAATTACATCTTGTAAACTTAAGATTAGTATATGAGAGACATCCGTTATTGATTAATTTCTGTAAGGCTTTTGTTCATTTATGATTTGTAATTAAGTAAATTCATAAAGAAATCGATTGCATTGTCTTTGCATGTTTAAGTACATGAAGAATAAATCATCTCATTTTACAAATACTACTTCAACTTTTCCTGTTAGTTTAGATTAGCTAAGCTTTTGTCACCTGCTAGTATTATCTCCTCAAAGTTTTCACAATTTTATCTTAGGAAAAAAATATGCACAATCGACTTTGCAAATATTTGAGTTGGTGCAGATTAGTAAACATATTGAAGTAAATATTTCAAATATGTACAACAAATATGTACAACGAATTCTTACAAAATAGTGTTGCTTTTTCTGAAATCCATTTACCGTGTATTTATAAATGTTGTGTTAAGAATTCATTGAACCTGAACAGTTCAATAAATTTTTACCATCTGATACAATCTTAAATATTCCTTATTTCTAAAATATACAAATCAAGATAAAATATTTGAATTGTGGATTGGTTAAAGTTAGACATTAACACAGTTAGATGCTGGCTAAGTAGTTTGAACCTTAGGCGTTCGTGTGTGAGGTCGTGGGTTTGGGTTTCACGTATGGGATCGTAGGTGCACACTGTTGAGGAGTCCCATACTAGAACGAAACAGCCATCCTATGCTTCCAAATATTCAATGGTGATCTAACTTAGATCAACTCATGAATTCAATTATTAAATAAAATATTTCTTAAAAATATCCATTTGATATGTATCGTATAGTTTATTATTAAAAAGTTAATTTATTGATACTACTGAACATTGTTAAGTGTAACAAATTAGTTATACATAAAGAAGAAGAATAAAAATAATGGTGATCTACAACATAAACAAATCGAATGATTGTTTTACACTAATGACTCTATATCAATAATTATGGTGATCACAATACTTATAAATCAATATTCTATTCGCCTTTCATGCATACACATAGACACAAACACGTATACAAACAGAAATTTACACAGTTAAAATATGAGCTTGGAATTTAAGTTTTGTTTATTGATTTATTATATTAATATTATTATACAGATTACTAATATAATTTTTTTAAAGCATTATTACAGTATTCAATGTAGAATACGATTAGTAATAGTGTAAAACAAAAACAAAAACAAAACAAACAAACAAACATTCTTAGTGATAATTAAACAATTATTGCTTAAACTATTGAATAACATCAGTCACTACTTGAAAATTGTGGATTACTATCCCAGTTGTAAGTGATTATTTATTCACAATGCAAATTTAATATAAGATTGTTTTAAAAAATTTCGTTTATTGCACTTCAGGAGCATTTACTTATGACATATTATAGATTCATCTGTATTAATCTAATTGTTAGAGACTAAAACTGACTTCAAAAGGGTAATGTATATTACTCTGACTAACTTTTTTATGATGTTGACTAATTCTTGATACAATATTATTTATCGTTGAATTGGTTAAATACTGTTATTATTAAGATGGTGAGGATTTGTAGCTCAAGTGGATGATTTTAGTGGAGTTTTATTCTTTAAGTTAGATGATTTAATCATATTAGCATTGTGTATTGCTGAAGCAAGCTAAAGATAACGAATTTTCATTTAAAAGTCATTGAAATATTAAGGGAGAAACTCCTAATTAACAATAAATAGCTTTATAGAATTAGGTAGTTATGATTATCTAACCTATATAATCTTGTGATGAAATCTAATTTCCCAAATCCTTGTAAGAAATGTAAAATAACAATCGATCACAGTAATTGAATATTATTATTATTATATCCCATAGGGCTATGTAAGAATAACCAAACTCAATTACAATCAAATGTAGCTACTCTTAGTTAAACTTTATTAAATTTTGAATGATTCAACCGACTCATGATCTTAACCATTGAAATTACTATCATATCCACAAAACCCATCTGATATTAATCAACATATGCTCACTAGTGACTGGCTTCAAGAGGTATATCCTGGAGTTCCAGTGAGAAGTAGTGACCAGTGGAGTTCAACTAGGTCTGTTGTGAGATAGTAACTCACTGAAGACAGTGGTGGATGTGTCGCTCAATTTCGGGGATTAGTTGAAGTTAGACATCAACACCGTTAGATGCCGGCTCAGTGGTTTAGTGGTTAAGTGCTCGCGCGCGAAACCAGTAGGTCCTGAGTCCGAATCACGCAGGGGGCGAGGTCGTGGATCCGCACTGCTGAGGAGTCCCACAATAGGACGAAACGGCCGTCCAGTGCTTCCAGGTTCTCTATGGTGGTCTAGCTTCAACTGACTGGTGATCTTAACCATTGAAATTTTTATGATATCCACAAAACCCATCTGATATTGATTCCTATTTGTTGTACTTTCTTCAAATGGTAACTAAAATTAGTTAGCTTCATGAAGTTCTGACACGCTCTACAAAGTTACAGCAGTAATTAATTATTAAATTGAAATGAAAAGATTTAATGTATAAAGTTACTCATAGAAAAAGATTGAAATTAAAATATATTCAAAGATGAAAATGAATAAAGTAGCAATTCTCAAACTAATAAATGACATAGTGTTTTTATAATGAAATCAAAATATAAGAAGAAGAGTGAATGAAATATATTAGTAAATAAAAAGATAATAAAGTGAAAAATCTTGACTTTTGGTTTAACTGGAAATCTATGAATGTTTCACTAAGTTTGAACCAAGTTATACAATGTATATCTGAGATTAAAAATTAGTGACAATAATTTCTACACAAACGTTACATTTTGAAACAACTTTTAACAAATCAAAAAGTTACATTACAATAGTTTGTAGAAACTTGGTTTATTTCTATTGTAGGATAATTAAACCATAGAATCAGTATGAATTAGGTTAACAGAGTTCGGTTTGTAGTTGTCATTATTAGTGCCTCAATGAAATAATTCAATGTTTTTCGTATTTTATCATTTTTGGAGTCAGCCAACAATTCTTCCCTCCATAATCAGGAGACTGAGTACCTGAAATTGTAAACGTATTTAGCAACCGTTTTTACTTTTCATTTCTAATATTTCCAGAAAAGTTAAATTACTTCTTAGATATCTGTTTTACCATCTTTTATGGAGGATCATAGTAACTAGGAAAATGTTTCCAATTATCACAATTAAAAATTTTCATTTATTCATGAATTATTTTCAAGTAAGTTATGACTCAATATTCTGAAAATTTTAATGGTAATATGAACTGTAGTTTTAGAAGTAGTCAGGCATAATTTTCTCACTCCCATCAACTTATTAGCTGAAAACCAATTCTGGAAAGTTCACAAACCTTATGATTAGATCAAAAGACAATTCTACTGAGGATGCTTAGGTTCTAAAAAAAAGTATAATGTTTTTAGATTTCCCATAGTTTCCTAGGAGATACTCATTCAATATTACTAACGGGATATTGACAAACCAAACAACTCGAAGTGGTCACGGCTCATCATTGGGCAATATGATGTCACAGTATATTATTCTTTGAAAATAAAGGAGTTAAGATAACTACAAATCTGTAAGATGATTTCAGAGATAAAACATGTTTGGAATATGATAAAGTGGAATCTTCTTACCACTTGGAATTTCAGTTTAAAAGACATCAGTCGATGTGTGAAAAGAAAATTATCAGGCAGAAATAATGATAAATAAGGAAATATTTGGTTGGACAAGAGATTTAACAGCAATAACGTAAAAAGTCGAGTATATTATCTCTGTACACGGAACTCAGTGATCAACTGGTAGCATATTGCTTACTCACAAATTCAATAAATGTATTGCTTATAAACATTTTAATTTGATTTCTATTGATAAACATTGAGATTGTAAATTAATCAATGTTAAACCACCACTTAAAAACTAGAAACAATGGACCGCTATCTTGTCCTACTGTGAGACTTCTCAACAGATCAACGACATTTGATATGGTTTTTATTATAGAATCTTTAACAGTGCAAACGTTGTGCTATCCTAACAGGATTTTCAGGTGACTTTCACATCTAAAATTAAGGTTGATAGTTTGACGAAAACTGAGTAGGCCTTCATTTTTTTTGTAAAAAATGACTAGTTACTATTTCATAAACCAGTCATTTTTCATCTTTTTGTTTTAATAATAAACATAAGACGCTAAATTAAAGATCAAAAATTATTTTCCTATCTCATTCCAGAAAAATATACATATAGATGTTTTGTAAACTATAGTCAGTACTTCGTGAATTGAATTGAATTTCGCCTTGTACTCCTAATGGAGCATAGGCCGCCGACCAGCATTCTCCAACCCACTCTGTCTTGGGCCTTGCTTTCTAGTTCCATCCAATTTTTGTTCATTTTTCTCATGTCTGTCTCCATTTCTCGGCGTAATGTTTTCTTTGGTCTTCTCCTTCGTTGGCCTTGAGGATTCCAAGTGAGAGCTTGCCTTGTGACGCAGTTGGGTGCTTTCCTCAATATGTGTCCTATCCACTTCCAGTGCTTCTTCCTGACTTCTTCCTCCTCTTGGATCTGGTTTGTTCTCTCTTACAGTAGGTTGTTGCTGATAATGTCTGACCAACGGATCCGAAGTATTTTGCGTAGAAAGCTGTTCCCAAACACTTGCATCTTCTAGATGATGGCTTTCGTAGTTCTCCAGGTTTCCGACCCATACAGTAGAACTGTCTTGACATTTGTATTGAAAATTCTGACCTTGGTGTTGGTTGGCAGTTGTTTTGAGTTCTAGACCTTCTTCAGTTGTAGATATGCTGCTCTTGCTTTGCCGATCCACGCCTTCACATCTGCATCAGATCCACCGTGTTCATCAATGATGCTGCCCAAATATGTAAATGTTTTTACATCTTCCGAATCTTCTTCGTCAATTGTGATTGGGTTGGTGCATGCTGTGTAGTATCGGAGAACCTTGCAGTACTTCGTACTTCAATAAAAATTTGATCTTAGGTTACTAATAGTGTCTTTCATGAAACTTGTCAAACCTATGATATTTTTCCACAATTAGAATAATCAATATTTTCAATAGACTTAACAAGTATCTAAGATTTAATCGAAATTGAATTATGGAACTGTTTTTTTTTAAATTTATTTCGATTACATACATTTTTTTAAAAATATTGATAAGTGAAAATTTTAAATGTATAAAATCAATTCACTTAAATGATTAGTGGTATTTTAGTGAAGATCGAATAAACGTATATATATCAGTATAGGGGTTGTGGAGATTATTAAGTTTTTGATTGAGATCATGAAACAATTGATGTTAGACCACCATTGTAAACCTGGAAGCACTGGATGGCCGTTTCATCTTATTGTGAGACTCCTCAGCAGTGCGCATCCACGAGTCCGCTCGTGGGGAACAAACCCAGGGCCTTCGGTCTCGCACTCAAACACTTAACTCACTGGACCACTGAGCCGGCATCCACTGGTGTTAGTGTCTAACATCAATAGGACGAAACGGCCATCCAGTGTTTCCAGGTTTCCAACGGTGACCTAACATAAAATCGGTTCATAATCTCAATCAAGAACGTATGTATAGTTAAACCGACCACATTGAATGAACAAAAAAATGAAGTCAATAATAATGTTAACTTATGATTCCTCAATACTATTTAGCTGAACATACGTCATTTTTTCGGGGAATCCTTTGGTCTGCTACGATAGTCATATATTATTAAAAGTAGAAAAGTTTTGATATAATCCACACAAGTGTTTAAATGAACTCATAGTGCTTTTTATACTACAAAAACTTTGTTAAAATTTTACTAAAATTAACAGAGAAATAAAAAATTAACTGGATCTGATTATGAATAAATTTAAAAGAAAATAGAGTAAACTACAACATTCATTAAAAACATAACACCGAAATCCTTCATGAGAATGACATCCAAATCTAAATGAATGGATTCAATCAATCGGAATAGTTAGGATGAGTGTAATACAATATACATGAAAAGTTGTTCATGGATAAACAAGGGAAAAACTTTGTTATCAATTTCCATATCTACTTACACTTTAATCACCATGGTAATCGATAACGACCTTTTTTTAAATTTCTTAAAAATAATCCAAACTATCGAATTTATGTTAATCACTAAATTATCAATATAGGGTTATGGGAATAATTAAGTTATTGATTGAGATCATGAACCGATTGATGTTAAACCACCAATGAAAACCTGGAAACAGTGTGCACTCACGATCCCGCTCGAGCTCTTGGATGCGCACTACTTAAGAGTACCACAATAGGACGAAACAGTTGTCCAGTGCTTTTAGGTTTTCAATGATGATGTAACATAAAAATCGGTTCATGATCTCAATCAATAATCATTAAATTATATAATGACATGAAATAAAATAGCTTACCATCAATATAAATAATTTTGTAATTTGGTACATTGAAGTTCAATGATTCTATTTTGAATAAAATAGATTCGAAAATTGTCAGTATATATAAATAATGAATAAATAGTTTAGGATATTTCATTGATGAAATAATAATTATTTATGTATTATCTTTTATAGAAATAAATAAAAATCCTTTATATTTTGTATGTTGTCATGACAAATATCACAGATATATCATCACTTTAAAATTAATCATTCTACTTCATACTGAATATCATTTTGTGTAAAACAGAATATCTTTATTAAATCCTTTGAAAAACTTCCATATCCTTTGTGTTGACACGTAAAAAGGTGTTTTGTAACAATTAAGCATAGATTAATCTTTATATATGAGAACAAATAAGAATATAAACATATCTATGGATACATACAAACAAATATTTCAACCAATGAGATTTGAGATTATGTCATAGATTCTTTTAGAATTATTACTTATGTCACGTACTGCTTCAACTTATAAAATAAAAGAGGAATGTGTATTAAATAGTCAAACTTTAGATTTATCACTTGAATTAAAAGAAAAACTTGATTCCTTGAAAAAAGTTACAAAAATATAAATAATTAAAGAATTCAACTGGTTAGTAGAATTTTTTCAACTATTGAATCATTCCATCTCTCTTTCATAAACAAGTATCTCAGTTTCATCCATATAGGTTTGATGTTTATTAGTATGTAGAGAGTAATAGTAAATAACTTACAGAAAGTTCCAACTGGAGCTGAATGAATGAAAAGTAATTCACCTCAATAAACAGGAAAATATTCATCTTTGATGATGATTATTGTTAAACATTAAGAACTTAGAACATTTTAAAGTAGTCACTCATTGAATTCTCGATTGATAGATCAGCGACAAATGATTTGATTTAAGTCTTGAAGATTCTCAGTGCTGTTCTGAAGTGTTTCTAAGTAGGAAAAAAAAGTAAAGACGTTACTATTTCCCCTATAGTTTTTAGACTTACTTTCATTGAATACTTTTACGATATTTTTCGAACAAAAATAGTCGTTTTGTTATGTATTACGGTTTTACTAATTACCTGTTAAATACGAGATAAGATTGGTATTTGCCAGTCTTTGTACAACACTTAGAATTTTATTGAATTTTGAACTTTTCATTTAACTTTTGTTTGATAACATTGGTTTCACTATCCAATAACAATGACTTTCACTCTGTAAAAACCTAACACCAGTCACACTGGTCTTGATATCTACCGCTGAAATTAGCTTTACTCCGTAACTCTAAAATTCATTCTTTACGTAATATTGGCATTACATTATATACATTAAAATCTTCGATATAACTCTCGATAAATGTATGCCTTGTTTGCACGAGTTACAACTGATTGCGAGCTTTTTGATTTTCTGCTTTTGTCATTAAACGCAAGTTCATAGTTTTATCTTTTAGCTCTTCACGCAATACTGCCTGAAAAACGATAGATTAGCAATCTGAAGACATTTAACTATTCTATGTATAGAAACGAATAGCATGTCTTTGGAGTTAGATCAAGTCATTTGTTGTTCCCTGTGTTCGAGAACTATTCGCTTTTCAACTGTATGCATAATTCCATAACTTTTTCAACGAATAATCACTTTTTTCAGCACGGTGTCACAGAACGGGGCTCAAGTTTTCCATCGGTTTTACTGGCAGTAAGATATAAATCTAAGAAGTACATTAAGTCTACCGTGTTTAATTAGGACGTCCCGCAACTTTGTGATTTGTATTTAAAAAAATGTTTAGGTTAGTTAATGTAGCCCATCAAAAACGATCAGATAAGTATTCTAAAATATATGTTTTAGCGTTGACTGGGTAACAGATATATTGTCAGCAGTAGCAAATGTAATATCTATGCAAAGCCATTTATGTGCGTGTATTAATATGTGTGGGCATATCTCTCTTGTATTTTTTCTAAATGACAGTAACTCTTATTTTGACTTGATGTTAAAAATATGTATGTGACTTTATTCATCTCTGTGTATCATATTTATTTTTTGACCCAAAGTAAGGTCATTACTCATATTTACTTATTACTGTGATTTTTTAGTTTTGTAATTTCTGTTTCACGATATTTCATTGACCGCATTCATTTTGTTACACTTTGCATTTTGGCCCCGTCAGACTAATTTAATGTGCTCGGTTGCTTAAATTTGAGTCGATTAAACTAGTCTATTCCTTGAGGATCGAAATGTACTTCTCGTTCGTTAAAAACCTTTGCTCTTTCTAGTAAGCAATTAACTTTATATTGCATTACAGATTATCGAATTAGCATCTTATAGTTCGTTTGTACTGAGCTTTCGGTGTACAAAGTGAACTGTCACCTATTGGAAAATCCGTTCAGCGATTCTGGGTCTTTTGTATATTTTATACTCAACGTTTGTTAACTTAGAACTACCGATATAAACAAGCTGTTGTATTTTGATCTGCTGGCTGTTCTAAGCTCATCTCTCAGCGATTCTGTGATGTTTTTGTGTAATAGTTATCCCTTTGTACCTTACTCCATGCCTTTTACGAATCTCAAATACGATGCTTTTAGTTGTGTTCATTAATTTCTACCTAAATTAAATTAAACTGTTCTGGGAATTCTTAGTTAGCAAACCAATTTGACTACTTCTAACTTCCATAGATCCTCCGGTTATACAGACCACTCTCACATTCTAGGAATTCCGCCGCAGAAAACCAGTTATTGAGCTGCAGTTAGATCCGAAGAATAGATCTTACTTTTTGAAAGGGGGGTGTTGGAGTGATCCGGAAAATTGCTCGCAAAAGACAAGCAAGGATCAGGAACCACTAAGAAGCGTTTCATCCAGTCAGTGTTCACTTGAAGTCTTAGCCAAAATATCAAGTAAGTGAAACGTCACATGCATAGGTTCTGACTGGTTGATTGCTACACTGGTACTATGTTTAGTAGCATTCCAGAATCTTCGAGCAACCCAAGGACATTTAAAATATTATAAAAACCCTGTATTTTCTGTATTATAATGAACCTTGGAGTAAAGTACTTCTCGCATATTTTGCGTCTTCTCTCTCGTTGTTCAGGTCGCTGTATAGTTCTAGCTTGGGGGTTACAGAATAGCTTAAGAAACGAATATAGCGTTCAATTCGCAAGACTTATCAACTACTATCAAATTATTTCCATCATATAAATAAACACTGAATTATTCTCATGTTTATCGTTCCTTTTAAACACAAAATCAGATAAAGACAAATCAGCTCTTCACAAAACCCCGATCATCAGTACTGTTAATTTTTCTATCACGCCAGCTAGTGTTACTAACCCGAAAATCCGAATCATTAGGCTGTAAAGTTATCTTGTAGTCAACCATATTTAGACACGGAGATTTAAATTTGGCTACGCAAATGAACTCTCACCAGACGAAGTAATAGAAGGTATATGTGGCGTTTTAACTATTCAAATCAGATAAACTGCATGTAATAAGACAAACATTAGTCTAAAGAATTTCATTAACTGACCGACTTTCCAATTAGGCGAAAATTGGCAATAGAAGTCTATCATAGTTTAAAAACCATGTGAAAAGTTTCGCGGAGGATGAGAAGGCATACAGTGGTTTATTCTACCAATTGTTGCCCAACCGACTGTCGCCCAGTATACAAAAGACTCTAGCAGTTTGGAACAAGGGACTCAGATGAACAGAAAACGGAATCTGTTACAAAACAATACAAACGAGTCGCTCTGCACATAAAACGATAGTAGACGACAGAATCGTTGCGTTAAATGAACAGGTGAATATTTCACTTCCAAAAGTGACACAGAACGACAGACCACAAAAGTGGTCACAGGGCAGATCGTATACCATAATTCTATCACTCTCCAGAAAACACAACCCACTAAATATGCTGGTATCGTTATATGTGTCCTAGAAAAACCAGAAGATATATACCTATAGGTTTAAGGCAAGATGACCAGGAAGCGATATAACCGATCTTTGGTGACGACTGCTACGTCCAACGTAACTTCAATAGATGGTCGTTTGCTTTACATGCAGAATCGAGTGACGAGCCCACATTTCTTAGTCGGCTCGAAAGATGACGTCAGTGTTGTGTGGCTCTCAAAAGAAAAGAGGGGGAATGTTAGTACGTACTTGTACTAAGAGCAGCAAAGATGAAAGATATAGAAATTATGGCAAGTTTAAACTCATGTTGAATGTCTATAAAGATAGCCCGTATTTATTGAGAAATGGCTGCGGTTGATGTATTCCGGTGTTAAAAACAGTAATAAATCGGTCATTGTTTGTGGGCTTGATAGTGGAATAAATCATGAAAATAAGTAGGGTAGATGATAACATAATGATCTGTTGTGCCGATAGAATATAAGAATACCAAATGGCGAAATATGAATATGCCTTAATGAGCCTCAGTAGAGTAAATAGCGTCTATAAGCTACTAATTGATATGCGTTTACGCGGTATGGAGTTTCTGTTTGTAGGACAAGAATAATCAAGCCATAAAATGATAACTGCAACAAAGGATGAACTAAGTATCTAACTTAATGAACGACTCAAGCTCTTATCCGGAGCATTTAGCGAAGTCAGTACAGCAGTGAAATGGACATGCTCAAATCGTACTATCTCATCTGCACTTTGTCCCCGTGTCAACCATTCTCATTTATCCATTTGGTGGATCACTTCATTATGATCATAATATTCTCATTTTTACATTATTGTCATATCCGACCTCTGAAAGGCAGTAGTGGCTATTCTGTATTACCCAGAACTGACCACAATAAGACAGTTACGCACGCTTAACGGATTAGAATGTTTCTGTAGACTGTTCATACCAAACTGAAACCTGTAACCGACCAAATTCGTGGAAATACAAAATCCATCACTTTGGACGAGAAAAGGATTCTCCACAGTTAAGGAACATATCGCGAAATCAACCATGCTAGCACATCAGGACACCTAAGTACCCATTAGTATCGCAGTAGATGCATCCAACTCGGCAATTTGAGGAGTCTTACAACATTGGGTTAACCACACATGGGAACATATGGCACTCTCAGACAGTTGATAGGCACAGAATCAGGGTAAAAAAGATTTCGGTTGGGAACTTCTGGCCATGTATTGCGCTGCAAGGCACTTTCAATACTCTGCTGAAGGCCGAGAATTCACTCTTTACATCTACCACAAACCTACTTTTTCCTAAGGCTCCTCTTCAGACAAGTACTCCCTTCAATAGCTTCGACAAGCAGACTACATTTCTCAGTTTACTCCAGACACATGAGCATTGTGTAACACTCAACAGATTCACCAAAACATCTTACGTCATTATGCACCTCCCCTTCTTTCACTTTGAACTGATAACGACGGAGCGTATAGGCA